CTTTCTAGAGAAGCACAAGCCCATTGCCAAAAGGCAGACTCAGGTGGAACTGTTTCCTCCAGTAATGATAACCCGATGCCCTTAATCAAGAAACAAGGGGGATCTCAAAGCACCACAATGCGAGAGAATCCTGGAAAACTAGTGAGATTTTGCAAGACAATGGACAATTTAATGAACACGAACAACTCACATCATCGCTTCAACGTTGTTCCAAAAGGAAATGAACCTGAAATGGAGTTGACCCTAAAAATAGAGCGAGAAGTGGCCTTTTCTTATCGGAATGAGTAAAAAAGGAGCAAGAGTAGACCTCAGAACTCAGTCATACAATCAGACAAAAACAAAACGTGTCATGTACATAATTCGAATATTCAGATGGCAAAAGCTTACTTTTTACTTGCGGCTTTAAAACGGAGATAAGAAAAAGAAAATCTCGGCTCTTTGAATACCTTGAACGCAGCGAGATTTTGTTTCAAAACTACGACTCGCCGGAGGATTGGACCGAACTCTACCAAAAATACGGTCGCCTTTGGTTGGATTGCATGAGCCTAATATCGGATGACCAGAGGAATGCACCCGCACGTAGAACCGCCAAAGAAAATGCAAGACACTATTTTGAGCAAGATATCTCTTACAGCCAAAAGGATCATCAAGTATAGATTCAGATCAAAAGGAAAACGTACATTCATCTCAGTCTTGCAACATCACTCCTAGACTGTGTTTCAACTGCCGTGCGAACCCAAGCGAAAGTTATTCCCGTAAGTTACATGAAAGAAGCTGAAAAACACCTCAATTTCATTCAGCATGACCTTGGTGACAGTGTCCCCGCAGGCACAGGGATCGATACAGCTCTTAAAAATATGATGGGATCAGTTTCATCATCAAGAATTTCTGTAACTTGCAAAGGAGAGAGCTGATGAGGCTCTTCATTGCGCGTCCTCCAATAAATTTATCACCGAATTAGACCCTCCACGAGGACGTATAACGTTTCTCGACGATAATATTGAAAAATTCAAGCCAGTTGTTTCTAAAGAACTCGAACAATCAAGTAGCGAAACCTGTTGTAGTGAATAGGAATTGGCCGATTAAAATCAACATCACGCTACTTAAACTGACATGAACTGTCGACTGGTGTTAAAGTTTCATTGTTAAGCAGTTGTTTAATGAGACTTTCGTGAAATCATGCAATCCAGAGAGGTTTTACTGAATGTGTTAAAACTCGCGCCATTATTTCCAAATCCATCGTTAGAAAATTGCAAAATTTACTTTACACTTTTAAAATGTCTCCAAAACTTGATGTGAATGTGTTTAAGCTCCTCAAAGACTGAAACTAAGAAAATATCCAGCAGTTGCTTGAATTCAGAAAATTGAAAAACATTTTAGCATTTCCAATCCCTAATCCCGACGATCGCAAAGTTTTTAATTTGGGTTCCTGAATGGTTGCTTGTCAATGATTTTTTTTTTTTTTTTAAACAATTTTATTTACAAGACGATCACTTACACTACTTACAGCATTAATTACACTCACATTGTACTTGCTACTAACGCTACTGATACTTATACTTACACAAATTATGCATACACTACATTACGATACATGTATTACAATACTATTAACGTTAATTTAAATTCACGGTTGGCAAAGTTCTTTTCAATTAGAAGACAATCACAAGTAAACATACAGGTCTCAAAAATGAAGTTAAGTATAAGTCTAATCTAAAAACAACAGCAGTATGAAAAATTAAAGTAAAAAAGCCCACGTGCGATAAAATTTCGGAAGTTCTTTTTTTGCGGTCGCGATCTCTTTTAGGATTTCAAGTTTTTCCGTGATGAACAGTAGGAAGATTTGAAAATCTAAGATGTCTCCGCAAAGGCTTGTGCAGAAAATGTGATATTTGGCTAACAATAGGCAATAATTTAGGACTTGCCAATGCTTTGTCCTATAATGCCAGCCATAGAGTATATGACTTGTGGATAACGTTATTGTTTCATTTGTTTTTTGGTGCCACCAGTCTTGAAACAGAATCCAGAAGTCGAGTATTAGTGTGCAGTTTATTAATAGGTGATGCAACGTTTGTTTTTCTGTATTGCATAGGTTGCATAAGGGGCTCTCTGAAATGCCGTCTCGGTAAAGAGTGGCGCGAGTTGGAAGCACGTTATGAATCACTTTATACTGAAACATTATTATTTTAACTTCGTTTGTTACTTTAAATGGCATAAGATAAACGTTCTTGATGGTAGTTTTTGTAAATCCGTGGCGTAGAATTTTGGTTTCGGTAGTGGGAGGAACAAAGACGGTGTTTAAAAGAGAAGAGTAAATAGAACTGGTTCTCAGGCTGTTTACAGTAGTGTTCGCGTGTGTGACGTTTGGAATAGGGTTTGTAAGAATAGCTCTCCAGTCTTTTAGGATTGCGTTGACCAAGCCATAGTATGTGGTGAAAGGCACATTTAAATTAAATTTTGTGACAAATTCATGCCACTTCAAAAATTTCTGATTTTGGTTTAAAATGTCGCTTATCTTAGTAATACCGGCGTCATACCAAGTTTGGTAAAAGACAGGTTTTTTTCCTATAAGAATTTTTCTGTTATTCCACATTATTTCGTTTTTAGGATTTATTTTGGAATCGATGCCCGTTGAGATTTTAAACTCGCACCAATAATCTAACACTTTTTTGTAAAATGCATGAAGCTTATCATCGAGGTCTAGTGTGCTTGGTGTAAAGTTGCATTTTGTTAGAAAAGCAAGACCACCATGTTTGTGTAAGAGCTGGTTAGGAATAATTTTCCAGGAGGCTTGTGAGTCATCTTGAATTCTGTTGACCCAAGCTATTTTGAGTGCTTTTTCCATAATATTAAAATCGCACATTTTCAAACCGCCATTCTTTCTTTTCTCCAATTATGGTGTTTCTTTTTATTTTAGGGGGTTTTCCTGCCCAAATAAAGTTGAAAGTTAGCTTATTTATTTCTTAGATATAGTGATCTGGAACAGGGAGCACGGAGGCTGAGTAAATTAACTTAGATATCCCAAGTGTTTTAACTATGTTTATCTTTCCATAAAGAGTTAGATTTCTCCGTTGCCAAGTGATTAGCGTTTTCTCAAGATTACGTATTTTTTCACCGAAGTTCAGTCTATTAGCACTTTCTTGGTTAGGAGAAAAATAGACACCAAGGGCATTGACAGGTTCTTTTGGCCATTTAAAACCAAAGGGTTCATCTGTTCTGACTTTCCATTCGCCTAACCACATTGCTTCGGTTTTAGTTGTGTTTATTTCTAGGCCAGAAAGTTCTTTAAACTCATTTAAAACCTTCAATAGACTCACGACGGAATCGAGGTCACGAACAAATACTGTTGTGTCGTCGGCATATTGACTTATTTTAAGCTCATGCTTGTTGACTTGGATACCTTTAATAGTAGGATCATTTTTTTGGCTTTAGAGAGGAGTTCTATGCCGAGAACGAAGAGAACGCCAGACAAAGGGCAACCTTGCCTGACTCCCCGCTGTAGGGAGAAAAAAGTTGAGGCATGACCGTTATTCAGAACACAGCTAGTAACATTATTATAAAAAATTTTTATCCAATTTTGGATGTCGTGGCCGAAGTTGAAAAGCTGCAATGTTTCTATGAGATAGTTCCATTCAATGGAATCAAACGCTTTTTTGAAGTCCAAGAAAATGGCAATACCTTTTTGATTTGTTTTATCCGTGTAATGTATTAGGTCATAAATTAGCCTTATATTTTCACCAATGTAGCGGCCTTTAACATAACCGGTTTGATCAGGGTTTATTAAAGTTGGCAAGACATTTTCGATTCGCTTGGCTATAACCTTAGTGAGAATCTTGTAGTCGACGTTGAGAAGTGAGATGGGCCTTAGATTTTCCAGAATAGTTTTATCCTTAGATTTTTTTGGGATAAGCGAGATTATTCCTCGTCTTTGACTTATAGAAAGCATGCCATGTTGAGAAGCAAAGTTGTAGCTCGCTACCAGATCATGGCAGATGTCGGGCCAAAAGAATCGGTAAAATTCAGCAGGCAGACCATCACTGCCCGGGGATTTGTTATTGTCAAAGTCTTTGAGTGCATTTTGGCATTTTCTACCTTTAGGTCCCATTTTTTCTGGAAACTTTTTAAATCATTGATATTGGTAGAGCGGTTGTAACGACTTTTTTTCTTCTCTTTAAATCGAATTGATCTTCTATGGAATTATCCCCAACTTTGTTTAGACTGTTTTAATATCATGCTGTCGTTTTTCTAAGCTGTATACTTAGTGTTGCGTTCTTCATCTTTAAGCTTCTCAGGATTGCAAAATCAACATGATTTTTTAAGATGTGATCTAAATTTCTAGTAAGATGTTTCTGTCGTCCTTATTTTTCTGGTTTCGTTTAGAGTAATTTTTCTTCATCTCGATATTTTTTTTGAACAATCGTGAGACATCTCCATTTTATGAGGTCCCATTTTAAATTAAATCATGAGTCTGTTGAAAAATTATGTTTACACTTTACTTTCATCTTTAAGTAATTGAATTAAATTTCCAGAATCCTGCCTCTTTTTTGACACTAAGAACAAATCTAAGATTCGGCATTGAATTTTAAACGATTTAGTTCTCCGACACTAAAACACTGCTTTGATCATTGTTTAGTTCTCGTCATATCATTCACTAAGGTTATACAAATCACAAAGCTTGTTAATTTCTTGGATGACAGCTACCTTTTTAGACACAGGATTTCCGCCTCTTTTATCATTTGGAGTGAGTGCGTAATTGAAATCTCCACCAATTACAATTGTATCTTGCGCGAATTCCTCGAGTTGTTGGTATAGTCTTTTGAAAAAAGAAACTTGCTGAGCGACATCGTTAGGCGCGTAAATGTTGACGAGAACAATAGCTTTCTCTTCAAGTGACAATTTTAAAATAATGAACCTTCCTTGTTTGTCTGGAATGCTTGTCAATGATTGCAGTCATGACGACGGTAACAAAAGGGGATGTAAAGGGCGAAGGTGATGAGAAGCAGTCTACAGAGCAGTGTACATCGAACGAAACCGTTGAAATCCTACCGATGGAACCGGAACGAAGAAAACGTGAATCTGGTAACGATGCAAACAAATATTCCGAAAATTTAATCTCAGTTTCTACTAAGGCCACAGAACTAAGAAATTTGAAGTTAAGGATCCAAAGTAAGAGCGTGGTCATAGTCCAACAATCACTCGCCAAACAGCAGCAGCCTTACCAGGAGCACACTTTGCTTAATCAGCAAACAAAACGTGCCAACGGGGGTGAAGTACAATCAGAATCTGCTCTAACGACAAAGGGCAGCCTTCTGGACCAACGCAACCGACCAGCGGAATTGGTAGCCTGCCAACTTCAAACTTCAAACAAAGCCCATTGCCGACAGGATGACTCAGGTAGAATTATTTCCTCCAGTATTGAAAACCCGATGCCCTTAATCAAGAAACAAGGGTATCTCAAAGGACCAGAATGCGAGAGAATCCTGGAAAAGCTTGAGATTTTGCAAGACAATGGACAATTTAACGAACACGAGCACTTAGTCACATCGATGCTTCAACGTTGTGCCAATGGAAATGAACTTGACATGGAGTTGGCCTTAAAAATAGAGCGAGGAGTGGCCTTTTCTTATCAGAAAGAGTCTAAGAAGAGCAAATCTATGTTTGCCTCAGTCATACAATTAGAACAAACGCAAAATTGCGATGTTACGAATCTTGGTATTTTAACGGCAAGAGCCTATTTTTCACTTGTAGCTGACTGCACAAATAGAAAGTCGGTGACGTTATCCCCGCTATTTGAGTTTCTTCAACGCAGCGAGTTTCTTCTGCAAAATCACGATTCGCCAGACGACTGGGCCGAGCTGTATTACAACTACGGATGCGTTTGGTTGAAGTATATGAGTATTATCCCTGATGACCGGAGAAATGCGCAGGCGCGAGAGACTGCTCGGGATAAAGCAAAATATTACTATGAGCAAGCTGTCTCTTTCTGCCAAAGGGATAAACGACCGAGAGTTCAGATAAAGAAACAAACGCATTGTCATCTCGGATTAGCAGCACTGCTGTTAAACTGCAGTTCAACTGCCGCGCGCACCCAAGAAAAAGAAATCGCTCCCAGTGATATTAAGGAAGCCAAAGAACACCTTGATTTTGTTCAGTATAGACTTGGTGAGAGTATACCCATGGGAACACAGGTACAGCTCTTAAAAACTCGATCTGATCAATTCTATCGTCAGAGATTATACCAATTGGCCAAAGAAACGGCCGAGGAGGCTTTTCAGCTCGCTTCCTCGAATAGATTTAACACTGAATTAGTCACTCTTCAAGAAAGGATCCAGTTTCTTGATGTAAAGCTTGAGGTTGCGAAAGAAGTTGCTATCGTGGAAATAGAAGATGCTCATACTGAAAGCTGCTATAGCGGCACCGAGTAAAGATCACGAGATTATAAACTTGAAAAGGATTGAATAAGTATCACAATTAAATTAAATAAGATCGAAAGAATGTTATATCTATACTAAGTATACGACATACTCTGTGGTGGAAACACAGTAACTTTATCTGTTTTTCTCGTTCTATTGACCATTTTTGTATTTACTTTTTTTCATTATTTACTCTATTTTATCCATTCGCCTGCTTCCTTTTCACTACAATTTGAATAATGGTCAGTGATAATTTTTTCGACAAGGAACAAGTGTTCGTCTATAATGTGTGAGAAATTACTATTTCAATACCAATCGTGCTCAGCGTCAGGTGAACAATGACAGTAACATCACGCATATTTCTAAAAAGATGAGCACTTTTTGTATATTTATGGCTTTATCGTCAGCCATTATACCATCCGACCATAGGAACAGCCGAGAAAGCTAAAGTGTGGCTTATAGATATAACTCAGAATTAAACCCACTAATTGAAATAATTTCAAAAAAATAAAATTCAATCTGCGTTAGCATTGCAGCTAGCCGTGCATGATGTAAATGCCGATAAACATGATTATCTTGACTTAGGGATTGCCATTTCTCTTAATTATGATGCTACCCTCTGCGGGCTTCTCGATAACTGACGTAATGCATGGTTATGGTTAAAATATCCAGAGACTTTTCCTTATAGTAAACATATTGGTTAAAGTTTATAGAAAACATCAGAATGACTGGTATCATAAATAAACATGTCATTCGTCTCTCTAAGTTAAAAAAAAAAAGCAGGGCAATGTACGTATCATCCTCTTCTTAACAAAACGAAAACATGGCATTATTTTAAATAATTCTTGAGATTCTCTCGACGTAGACCCTTTTTCACGGTTAAAGCTACTAGAAACTCTGGCTCTTATTAACCGGGACAGAACATCTTTATAGTGCTATCAAGGAAGAACAAAAAAAAACTTCATCACCGAAACAGAGCATACGACGTCTTCGGAGAAATATCTCTATCTTCAGGTAGGAGGTAATCCGCAGATACCTTAAATTTCATTAGTTCAAAATCACCAGTCCAACGATACAACGCTAAAGACAAGGAATTAATACTCTTGAACAAACATGGATGACCAAACAAGAAATGCGCCTGAAAGCGTTGGCGTTCAGTTATAGCAACGCTAAAGAAATTGCAAAAGAGTGCACAGACCATGGACAGACAATTTGCACCGACATGAAAGGCTCGCTATCTGGGATTCGTTCCGATAATTCAGTCTCAATTGTCTCTGAGGAAAGATCTAAAGCACACACCAATCTTTGACGTTAATGGTCTCAAGCTCCCGCGTCGTACTGGTCGGTCAGTCAAGCATAGAAAAAGGAAAAAATGATCATTGCTGTGGCCAAGAAAGGCTTTCTAAAGAAGCACAAGTCCGTTGCCGAAAGGCAGACTCAAGGGAATTGTTTCCTCCGGTGTGGAAAAACCGATGCCCTTAATCAAGAAACAAGGGTATCTCAAAGGACCACAATGCGAGAGAATCTTGGTAAAACTTGAGATTTTGCAAAACAATGGACAATTTAAAAAATATGTTTTTTCGTCTTGTCACGAGCTTGGGACAAAGAAACATTCTGAGTCCCCATGAGGAATCGAACCTTAGACCTTCGGATTTGCGCTCCGGTGCTCTAAATCCGAAGGTCTGAGGTTCGATTCCTCATGGGGACTCAGAATTTTTCTTTGTCCCACGCTCGTGACAAGACGAAAAAACATCTTTCTTAATTCTTCACCGAGCTCAAAACTTACCATCTCTACTTTTCTGTCAATGGACAATTTAACGAACACGAGCATTCAGTCACATCGTTGCTTCAACGTTGTGCCAATGGAAATAAACCTGACTTGCAGTTGGCCTTAAAAATAGAGGATCGGAAAGAGTCTAAAAGAGCAAGAGTGTGTTTACCTCAGTTATACAATCAGACAAAAACAAAACGTGTCATGTACTTAATTCGAGTATTCTGATGGCAAAAGCTTACTTTTTACTTGTGGCTGACGTAGGAAAGAGAAAACCTCGGCTCTTTGAATACCTTGAACGCAGCGAGTTTTTGTTTCAAAACTACGACTCGCCAGAGGATTGGGTCGAACTCTACCAAAAATACGGTCGCCTTTGGCTGGATTGTATGAGCCTTACACCGGATGACCAGCGGAATGAGCCGGCACGTATAACCGCCAAAGAAAATGGAAGATACTATTTTGAGCAAGATATATCTTACAGCCAAAAAGATCATCGAGTAAGGGTTCAGGTCAAAGGGGAAACGTACATTCATCTCAGTCTTGCAACATTACTTCTAGATTGAGTTTAAACTGCCGCGCGAACCCACGCAAAAGCTCTTAGGTGAAATAAAAGAAGCTGAAGAACTCCTTAATTTCATTCAGCATGATCTTGGTGACATGCTCCTGACAAAAAGACCGGATCAGTTTTATCGCCAAGGAAGTCTGCAACTTACAAAGGAGTTAGCTGAGGAGGCTCTTCATCTCGCGTCCTCCAATAAATTTAACACTGAAATAGACTCTATACGAGGATGTATAACTTTTCTCGACGATAATCTTGATAAAAACAAGCTAGTTGTTCCTATAGAACTCAAGAAATCAAGTAGCGAAACCTGTTGTAGTGAATAGAGATTGGCCGATTAAAATCAACATCACGCCATTCAATTTCCTAGCACAACTGACATAAACTGTCGACTGGTAAGACAGTTTCATTGTTAAGCAGTTATTCAATAAGAAGTCCATGGAATCGTGCAATCCAGAGAGGCTTTACTGAATGTATTCAAAATCACGCCATTACTTCTGAATCCATCGTCAGAAAATTGCAAAATTTACTTTACACTTTTAAATGTCTACAAAATTTTTTTAATCTTTTAAAGCTCCTCAAAGACTGAAATTAAGAAAATATCCCGAAGTTGCAGAATCCAGAAAATTGGAAGACACTTCAACATTTCTAATCCCCTAGAGCGATAGTTGAAGATATCACTCCATCAATCTTATTTTCCTGCGCCTTTAAGGTGACAGAATCTTTTCCGGCGATCGCAAAGCTTTTAATTTGTATTACTGAATGGACGCTTGTCAACTATTGCAGGCATGACGACTTTAACAAAACAGGACATAAAGGGCAAATGGAACACAATTTCGACACTCTATCAAGTGCGTGACGTGTGCTCAATGCTGACCTATAAGATTAATAAAGTCTGTTGACTAATGTAAATTTGCTTAAATGCTAATGTGACTGAAAACATTTTTACTATTTGGAGGTACTGTTTCGGGTCTGAAGATTACACTATAAAGATGTTTCTGGGAAAAAAGTCATTCGAGAAAAGACAATTTACCTAGAAGCAGCAACTACCAATATTAACGTCATATTATCGCGTCTTTCGCTTTCGAACCGGCAAGCGTGCTTGTATTTACTTTATCGGAATCATAAATATTTCATTATTTCTGCTACCTTCAAGCTGTAACCGCCACTGTTAGAAAGGCCTCCGTCATACAATCAGTACAAACACAAAATTGGGATGTTACGAATTCTAGTATTTTAACGGCAAGAGCCTATTTTTCCCTTGTAACTGACTACACAATTAGAAGCTCGGTAGTCGGTGATAATTTTTACGACAAGGAACAAGTGTTCGTCATGTGACAACGAAATTACTCTTTCGATTTCAATCGTGCTCAGGGTCAGGTGAACAATGACAGTAATATTATGCATATTTCTAAAAAGATGAGCACTTTTCTATTTATATTTCTTCATCAGCCATTATACTACCTGACAGTAGAATCATGCACACCGCCTGTGCATGATTTAAATACCGATAAACATAATTATCTTGACTTGGGAGAATTCCATTTCTCTTAATTATGTTGCTACCCTCTGCGGTCTTCTCAATAACTGGCGCAATGCGTGGTTACCGTTTATAGATCACAGGGACTTTCCCTCACAGGAAATAGACCGATTGGTTATAATTTATATGCAAATATGACATGCAAGATATGATGATTCTATAATTCACCTCTTCGAATTTAAAGAACGTAGGACAATGTACGTATACGTACCAGCAGTTGCTTGAATTCAGAAAATTGGAAAATATTTCTACATTTGTAACCCCTTTAAGCGATAGTTGAAGATATCACTCCATCAAACTGTTATCCCTACGCTTCAAAAGGTAACAGAATCTTTTCCGACGATCGCAAAGTTTTTAATTTGGGCTACTGAATGGACGCTTGTCAATGATTGTCAACTGTTCACATGACGAATAACGATTTGTTTATCTGGAGGTTCCGTGTCGTGTCTGAAGATTACACTATATCGAGGTTTCTAGGGAAACAGTTATTTGAGAAAAGACAATTTGCCTAGAAGTAGCAACTACTAATATTTAAGTCAAGTTATCGCGTCTTTCACTTTCGAACTGGCAAGCGTAATTGCGATACTTTCTTAGAATCATGAATATTTAGTTATTTCTGCTACCTCCATGTTGTTACCGCAACGGTAAAGAAGGCCTATAATCTAGTCTCGTCTTTACTCTGATGAAAACATTGATGATTTTATGTTCTAGTTTACTACGTGGCTGCGTGGAAAATACCACATAAATCTGTGGAGGACCTACTTGCGTCAACGAAATTAAAGAAAGGAACGTTGGCTTGAATTCAAACCTGTCTGTCATTGTAAACAACTCAATGTTCCCCGTCTTCCGGCGTTTTATTTGGTATAAAGAAAGAAACTGCGAGGCATTACAAACGGAAAAGCGAGAGGAAAGTATTTGTTCACGATGAGTAGTAATGAGACGCAGTCCGTAGAGCAGCGTTCATCGAACAAAACCAATGAAGTGCTACCGATCGAACCGGAACGAAGAAGACGTGAGGGTGGTAACGATGCAAATACATATTCCCAGAATTCAATCTCAGTTTCTGACAAGGCCACAGGACCAAGAAATTTTAAATTAAGGATCCAAAATAACACTCTGGTCATAGCCCAACAATCACTCGCCAAACAACAGCAGCCAAACTGGGAGCGCACTTTGCATAAACGGGAAACAAAACGTGGCAACGGGGGTGAAGTACAATCAGACTCTTCTCCAAAGACGAAGGGCAGCCTTCTAGACCAACACAAGCGACCACTAGAGTTGGTAGCCTGCCAACTTCAAACTCCAAACGAAGCCCATTGCCGAAAGGCAGACTCAGGTGGAATTGTTTCCTCCAGTATTGAAAAACCGATGCCCTTAATCAAGAAACAAGGGTATCTCAAAAAACTACAATGCGAGAGCATTCTGAGAAGACTTGAGATTTTGCAAGACAATGGACATTTTAACGAACACGAGCACTTAGCCACATCGTTGCTTCAACTTTGTTCTGATGGAAATAAACCTGACATGGAGTTGGCCTTAAAAATAGAGCGAGGAGTGGCCTTTGCTTATCAGAAAGAGTCTAGAAAGAGTAAGAGTATGTTTACCTCAGTCATACAATCAGAACAATCACAAAATTGCGATGTTACGAATCGTAGTATTTTAACGGCAAGAGCCTATGTTGCACTTGTAGCTGACTACACCGATAGATACTCGGTGAAGTTATCCCCACTCTTTGAATTTCTTCGACGCAGCGAGTTTCTTCTGCAAAATCACGATTCGCCAGAAGACTGGGCCGAGCTGTACTACACCTACGGATGCGTTTGGTTGACGTACATGAGCATTATTCCAGATTACCTGAGAAATGCGCAGGCGCGAGAGACCGCTCGGGATAAAGCAAAATATTACTATGAGCAGGCTGTCTCTTTCTGCCAAAGGGATAAACGACCGAGAGTTCAGGTAAAAAAACAAACCTATTGTCATCTCAAACTAGCAGCACTGCTGTTAGACTGTAGTTTAACTGCCGCGCGCACCCAAGAAAAAGAAATCGCTCCCAGTGATATTAGAAAAGCCAAAGAACACCTTGATTTTGTTCAGTATAGACTTAGTGAGAGTATACCCACGGGAACACAGGTACAGCTCTTAAAAACTCGATCTGATCAATTCTATCGTCAGAGATTATACCAATTGGCCAAAGAAACGGCCGAGGAGGCTTTTCAGCTCGCTTCCTCGAACAGATTTAACACTGAATTAGACGCCCTTCAAGAAAGGATCCAGTTTCTTGACGTAAAGCTCGAGGTTGCGAAAGAAGTTGCTATCGTGGAAATAGAAGATGCTCATACTGAAAGCTGCTATAGCGGTACCGAGTAAAGATCACGAGATTATAAACTTGAGGAAGACTGAAAGTATCACAATTGAATACTACAAGATCAAGATAAATATTATCGGCTCTACTAAGTATATGACATACTCAGAGGTGGAAACACATTAACTCTGTCTGTTTTTATCATTCTTTTGCCCTTTGGCGTGTTTCCTTTTTTCCATTATTTACTCTATCTTATCTGTTCGCTTGCTTCCTTTTCACTACAATTTGAATAATGGTCGGTGATAATTTTTTCCGACAAGAACACAGGGCATTTTTGGTGATTCCCAAAGTGGGAAAAAAACAGGAAATTTGTGGAACAGAATTGATAGTTCAACAATTTCTTTGCAACGATCTCTGTTAGCTGTGATACTGTCAATGTTGTCAAGGTATTTGCCTTCACTGAAAATCTACTTCTTAGCACTTTGACAATGTTGTCTCAATCGAGCTGTTCACGAAATACTGATTTAACAATCATCTGATAACCCTTTAGTGACAGACTAACTGTACTTTGCTCAACAGCACGCTTTAACTTGGGAACACCATCTATTGCTGTTGGTGCATCTCTTGCCTCTTCCACAGAGTCCTCCGTTGAATCAACTGAAACAGTTGACACTGTCCCGTCATCGTCACTTTCTTGTGACTGTATTTCAGTGTCACCTTCTCCAAGACTGACCTGTAACATAAAAGTACATGTGAAACACATCTTAAAGGGTTTAAACCCCACAAAGCATAAAAGTTAATACCCACAGGAGGATGTAGAACACTGAAGAAATTACACATAGCCAAAAAAGAACTGTAGTGATAAATCAGAATTAGGTTTTAGTGTGCGATATCTTACTTTGTAATAGTGAATTATACAATTCATTCTTATTACTATATAAACCTCTCCCCACTTGATCAAAGTAATGTTGTAGACCCATTTAATTGCTTCAACTTTGTCCAACAACCATACATTATGAAAAGTCAATGTGAGACAAAAGTCAATTAAATAATGCTGAGTGTGTTTAGGTATATACATTATCACTGAAGGAATCAGGTCAACCAAGCCACATACCTTTTGAACAGACTTGACTCTTTTGCATGCATTATTATCACTCTCTGACTAGAATGGGAAACCAAAGATTATCTATCAATCAATCATGTCCCATTTCACCGAAGAAATTAAATGATATCATTAAGGGCTGGGGATAGCTTCCAAAAGACATTACACACACAGAAAAAAAAAAAACAGTTATCACCATAGCACCCCTCCCCCACTACATAAACTATGACTCTTCTCGTAGAATCACTGTAAGTACCACAGAAGTTAGCACATCTTCATGTAGTTCAGGAAGCTTGGGATCTTCATTACTCAAACATTTTCTTTATGTAACAGTAAAGAATGTATTGATTAATAGTCAAAATTTCAGCCTTCTCTCACACCTCAAAATATTTCGAATGACCTGCCCTCCAACAGGGTATCGAGGTATTGCATATCGTGCCATGGCATACCAGGTGTGGCATGAAAGAAATTCATGAAAGAAAGTTAAATCCTACTTCTGGCATACCACACTGGGGAGTAAATTCAGGAGAAAAACTTGCCAACTCTGCTTTTGCCTTGGGATTATTGCACTTTGGTACAACTCCCTTCCATTGGGTTGATGCTAACATTCCAATCCTTTTCCGTCTGCAATAAAAACAAAGAGAAGGTTTTTCACCCTTATATCTATTTACAATGTGCTCGAGGGGTTTGTACCGGATCTGTGCAAACGCACAAATTGGTTCCGTATGTAAGCTGTGTAACACAATATTGACAACGACAAACTATGTAAAAAGAAATTACAAGAAGATCTATGGCAAACTATGAACAAGCTGTGTATCATCGGTCTTGTAATATTTCCAAACTCGCTGTTGTTCAGGTCAGCTCGTTTATTCACACTTTATATGTTTCCGAACTCAAATACCTTTGAAAAATTGAGAAACATTCCAAACGAACTTACTTTAGTAGGTAGGCGCTCTTTTGTTCCGGGGAGAAGAAGGCTATATCCTCCATTCGAGGTTTTACATTTGCAGGTGATGCCCTTCTTCCAGAGACGATCTTTCGTTCAGGAAAGAGTATTGTAAATTCGGCTTTGAAGCGAACAGCTTTTCCATATGTCAGGCCAAGCCTGCCAAAGATTGGGGTATCAGCATCTCTTGTCATCAAATCCTTAATTCCTTCTTCGTTTAACAATTCTTCAGCTATAAACATAGGGCAGTTATACTTTAGAAAATGAGCAGAAGTTAGATAAATAGATAATACTTCATAAGCTTAATACTGAGGCTTTTTCCAGAGAGGCGGAATGTCTAGTATTTGAATCAACAGAGTCTAAGAGTAAGTTAAGCTTTAATTAATGGCGCCAGAAGTTATTTTATAGCAAGACTTACAGAATGATGGAATAACAGATAGAAAGAAAACTGAACTTCAAATCACTGAATTGAAAAAATGAGGTCATACACAATAATATGACTTGAGCTTTCATCAAACATCAACTGATAAGCTTACACTGTCAACAAAAGTTAAGCTTAGATACCTTCGAAGGCCTTGGTCGTTTCATCTCCGAATATTTCTCGTACTTTGCACTTCGCTTTCTCTGCGTTTTCTACTTTTGGATTCTCAAATTCATCTGTACTTGTACTGTCAGAATTGGCCATTTTGTACAAATAATATACGAAAGACCGAGTTTTCTGCCACCTTTCTGATAGTACCTTGGCGCGATCTCTTGGCGCCGAAATCCTCGCTCAACCAGATCGTTTGCTGACCAAAACGTACGAGGGCTCGGTATTGCATCATGCGTTTTCGTCCTCGTGATTGGCTAACATATATTTTTGGCGCGGAATTTGTTTACCCGCGATTCTCTTTCATCGTACCATGGGTGTTGAAAATGGCGCATTATTATAACTGCATCGATTATGACTAGTAGTTCAGAAAGAGTAAGGTCTACCTAGTCAAGAGATGACATTACAAGCTGTGAGTGTAAAGAAAAGCCGTTTAGACACGTTCACTGTCCTTGCTTTGGATGCCAGGGCAGAGTAACTGACCGAAAAACAGAGCTTCGAAATTGGAAAGAAACACATGAATTTGCGGTCGAAAACAGTTCTTACCAATCAGATGTTGACTCTGACATTTTTTACGATATTCTGCTCGAACAAGATACTTATGATAAGCTGTGTGGGGAAGAGAACGGAACTCTACGAGACCCTGATTCTCCGCTAGTGGAACCGCTTGACAGTAGTGAACAAGAGGACGCTGATGACATCGATGTTGAAAAAAACCCTTTGAAAGAGATAGTGGTTAAAGCTGTACTGGATGCTCTTAGAATAAAGCATCAAAGTGGGGCATCGGTAAGAACATTTGAGGATGTTTTGGAGTACGGAAAGAAACTGTTCTTTCTTTCTCTAAACGAGGATGTGGATGTCGATGTTTTGACAACCTTATGACAAAAAAGTTGGAACGATGTACAGTTGCTTTTAAAAGAGCAGGGATATGAAGATGTTAAAGAATTCTTTGTTTGTTTCTGTTTTGAGGAAAAGGAAATCACAAAAGATGGAAAAAACTACCAAGAAAACTGTCTTCCATGGCACATACAGCATCGTGGATAGCAAACAAGGAAAATGTCCTTACGGTGGTAATGCTGGTTACATAAAGTATTTGTATTTAGGTCTCAAGAATAGGGTGAAGAACTGGTTCAGAAATAAAACTATATGTAACAAATACTTGCACATTGGATTAAGAAAGATCACTGGCTAGCAAATGGCGTAGGTTGCCGATTAAGGAAATAGCTTTGGGATGGGAAGCGGTGGTCAGAGCGCGAGTGGTTTTGGAACCCAGATAGCACATGGACTTTGCCAACCTGTTGTGTACACTGTGACATTCTCATACCTGCAAACCATCTCATTAACTCAGAAGCTAAAGATCAAGATGGGGATAGCAATGTGAAAATTGTTGAGTTTCCTGTTTGTTTTGAATAATTTGAACACCGTATTAGAAAGAAAAAAAGGCTCCCCATTAAACGTGCCTCTTGTGGGGCACTTTGATGGCTGGCAGCCATTTGGTTCAAGCTACAGGGGGTCTGGATCCTTTGCAGTTTCTGTTGCTAACATGAAAAAGGCTGAAAGAAATCACGTGGAGGAAGTTTACGTGGTAAGTTTTGTGCCTTGTTCCCAAGTTCCTAATCTACCAAATGGATTGGACCCTTTCTGGCAGCCTGTAATGAATGATCTGTGTGAGGGATTTATTGAAGGTTACAAAGTGAACTACCCTAAAGGAATCACAATTCCAGGTTTTGAATCATCTAATGAGGAAATAGTTCGATTGATTTTACTGGTGTGGACAGCTGATCATCCTGGTCAATGCGAAACAGGGAAGTTTCTTAACCAGGGTAAATGTGCATGTCGCAGATGTAAACTGGTTGGTCAACATCTACAGAATAGATCAAATACACACTATTACTATGGACAAATCGCTTGCATTTTAGACACCCTTGGAGAGAGAGGGTCATTGAATCAGAACTTGAAAATATTTTTGATATTGAGAATGAAACAAGACCAAGTGTCCGGAAAAGAATGTCATCAGAAAAAGGCTTTACCGGACTGTCCCTTTTTCACAAATATCTTTACAACCTTTATGGATTTGACATTTTGAATCGTCTTTTTTATGATGCCTATCACACAGTTGCCCTGAATGTGGTCAAGAATCAGTTGTCTAGAGCTTTGGAGTTGGAGATGCTAGATAAAACAGAGCTTGATAAACAAATTGATAACTTTCCATGGACTGGTGAATTTAAAGATGGTAGACTTCCAAAACAACTGGGTAAAGATTGCAAAGGTATTGGATATTGGAAAGCTGAAAGTTTCCAGAAATTTTCATTTCCAATGGCAGAATGCATTATGGAAAGCCAACTTACTAATGCTAAGGAATATAAAATTGTCTCCCCTATAGCAAGATTGACAGAGCTGCACTTTCATGGTGGAAGGAATGGATGGACTCCTGACATGATTAAAGGGCACCAGAAATTGGCATGGCGGCTAAATATATTATTGGAAGAAGTACAAGGGTTGGCATTGTGTACCATCTCAATATACAACTTACTTCATATTCATGAAGACATCATAAATTTCTCAGCCTCGGATAATGTTTGGTGTGCAGTGTATGAAAGAGCTGTTAAGGAGTATGTAAAGACGTCTCACAATGGAAAAAACATTGAAGCTACATTTGCCCATGTAGAGTCAATAAGAGAGTACTCAAAATCAGTGGAGGAAAAAGAACAAACTAGCCTTGGAAAGCATGATGTTTTACTGGTGAATTTGAAACTCTTGACAAATTCACATAACCCATAAATTTTTGTGAATAAAATAATATTATAAAACTCTGAATTTCCCCTTCCCTTGTTCTACATTATCATTATTGTTATTATTATTATTATTATTATTATTATTATTATTATTATAGTGCAGATATAATTTGCTGTTCAAGAATGTAACAAGTTCTTGATATCCAATGTGTCTTTTCTTGTTTCTTCATGTAGGGGATAGCTTGCTCAAATGAAACAGCTAAGGCACTGTGTGAAATGGAGCCTCCTTCAAGGGATGCTTTTCTCATCGGTTCATTATCAAACATTAAGCCTCTTACTATGGGTGACCAAGACAAGATAGCTGAACTGTTGTGTGTACTTAGTTGGAAAGTTCCAGAGGCCACATTTGTTTCAAAGAGATGTTTTAAATCAGACATTGCTTTCAATGGAACTGTTTTTGCTTTTGGTGACAATTTCATAACGTCCGCCAATGGACAAGAACATATAGTCCAGCTGCAAGGATTTTTTTCTGTCAACACTGATGGTAACTTGAACAGTTTATTAGGTCATGGATTTCTTTATCCATTGCATCTTACAGAGACTGGTGTGGTCGACACCTACTATTAGAGTGGCTTTGTCAAGGTTGAGAGCCAGCCAAATCCCAGGTCCATAATGTTTAAAGTTGCCAACATTTCCCGGCAAGTTATTCTGTACCCATACAATGACAATTTACTGACAGTAGTAGATTACATGCGTCATCATGAAAATTGTCCTTGTGAATTAATCGTACCTGTTTATCCTTAAAGAGGGGACATGATTCTTGTTCAGAGTGAGTGCTGTGGAGACATTTGGCATGGTCATGTACAAAGTGTAGATTTTGTCAACAGAACGGTAGATGTCTCCTTTTTCATTCCAAGTAGGAGACTTACTCATTACAATACATATGTGAGGGAATCACATGGCAGGTCAGTAAGGAATGTTGTGGCTTGGGATTCAATTATTGGAATTGCCGAAGGACACTGGAGTAGTATTTCAACATCGGTGAAGGCAACTTAAAAAAATATTGAATATTGTAATTAAGGCAAAATGCTGGCTTTTTGATATAAGCTCATAAGGAAATGTATCAACAATGCCATCAGCAGTATAGTTGTATTATCCAACTTTTAATTTGATTTGATGTTTATGTCACATGTTAATGTGGTTATAAACTTACATTTCATCAAGTGCACGCACTGAATTACCATACTTCTGGTTTTCAAATAAGCCTTACCCTTACATTGTAATGCTAACACAAGATTATTGTATTCTTTCCCACTCAATAGTCATAAGAATAACAAATCTAGATTTAACTAAATTCTTTTCCAAGGTGGGGATTTCTTGTCCCTTTCATTTTCCAAAATTGGGAATAGCATGTTGCAATATTTCCCAACTTGTGGAAAAATAGCCCCATTATTTTCCCACATTTTGGGAAATAAACCCATTGGTTTCCCAATTTTGGGATCTTGGAATCTATATTGCATATTTTCCCAAACTAAACACGACATCGTGAAAACTTAACTCAAACTTTAACCAACCCTTTCCCAAGGTGGGGATTTCTTGTCCCTTGCATTTCCCAAAATTGGGAATAACATCTTGAAATATTTCCCAACTTGTGCAAAAATAGTCCCATCATTTTCCCATATTCTGGGGAGAAAACCCATTGGATTACCAACATTGGTATTTTAAAAAAAATCCCCTTCATTTCCCATAGTGAACCCAGCATTGGGAAAAATAAACCCAAACTTTTACCAATCATTTCCCATGAGAGGAAAATGTTGTCCCAAAAATTTCCCAATAATGGGGAAAATCCCCAACACTTTCCCAGTTTGGGAATTACAAAAAGTTTCCCATGGAAAGCAAGCGTTCGTCTTTGAAGTTCAGTGAAGTTACTATTTAAATCTCAATCGTGCTCAGAATCAAGTGAACAATGACAGTAATATCATGCATATTTCTAAAAGACGAGCACTTTTTTTATATATTTATTGTTTTATCATTAGCCATTATACTACCTGACCATAGAAACAGCCGAGAAGGCTAAAGTGTGGCGTCCTCCTATACATATAACTTAGAATTAAACCCTTTCATTGAAATAATCAAAATGCTGGGCAAGATATTTGAAACGTTCATTCTACGCTAGCATTGCAGCTGGAGGTGCATGGACATAATTATCTTGACTAGAAACAGCCGAGAAGGTTCAAGCGTGGCTTCCTCCTATAGATATAACTCAGAATTAAACCCTCTAATTGAAATAATTAAAATACTGGGCAAGAAACTTGAAAAATTCAATCTGCGTTAGCATTGCAGCTAACCGTGCATGATGTAAATACCGATAAATATAATTATCTTGACTTGGGGATTGCCATTTCTCTCAGTTATGTTACTACCCTCTGCGGGCTTCTCAATAACTGACGTAATGCGTGGTTATGGTTAAAATATCAAAGGACTTCCCCTCACAGGAAAATAAACCAACTGGTAAGAATTAATATGCAAATATCAGATGAAAGAGATATTTAATTTATAATTCACCCCTCCGAATTTAAAGAACGTAGGACAATCTACGTATCATTCTTTAAGAACAAAAGGAAACGTGGCTTTATTTCAAATAATTCTTGCCATTATCTCGATGAAAATCTTCTTTCACGGCTAAATCTACAAGAAACTCTAGCTCGCATTAACCGTAACAGATAGTGCTTTCGGGGAGAATATAAACAAACTTCATCACCGAAACAGTGCATTCGACGTCTTCAGAGAAATATCTCTTTTTCCTAGTAGGAGGTAAACCGCATCTACCTTAAATTACACTGGTTCAAAATCACCAGTCCAAGGATACAACGCTGAACACAAGGAAATATTACTCGCGAACAAACATGGACGACCAACCAAGAAATACACCTGTTAGCGTTGGCGTTTATAGCAACGCTAAAGAAATTACAAAGGAGCGAACAGACCATGAGCAGGCAACTTGCACCGACATGAAAAGCTCTCTATCTAGGTTTCCTTCCAATGATTCAGTCTCGATTGCTCACACCAAATCTTTTACGTTAATGGTCTCAAGCTCCAGCGTCGTACTGGTCGGTCAGTCTAGCATAGAACAAGTAAACATTGATCATTGCTGTGGCCAAGAAAAGCTTTCTAAAGGAGCAGAAGCCCATTGCCGAAAGGCAGGCTCAGATGGAATTGTTTCCTTCAGTATTGAAAAACCGATGCCCCTAATCGAGAAACAAGGGTATCTCAAAGACCCACAATGCGAGAGAATTCTGAGAAGACTTGAGATTTTGCAAGACAATGGACATTTTAACGAACACGAGCACTTAGCCACATCGTTGCTTCAACTTTGTTCTGATGGAAATAAACCTGACATGGAGTTGGCCTTAAAAATAGAGCGAGGAGTGGCCTTTGCTTATCAGAAAGAGTCTAGAAAGAGTAAGAGTATGTTTACCTCAGTCATACAAACAGAACGAACACAAAATTGGGATGTTACGAATCGTAGTATTTTAACGGCAAGAGCCTATTTTTCACTTGTTGCTTACTACAGAAATAGAAAGTCGGTGAAGTTTTCCCCTCTATTTGAATTTCTTCAACGCAGCGAGTTTCTTCTGCAAAATCACAATTCCCCAGAAGACTGGGCCGAGCTGTATTACATTTACGGATCCGTTTGGTTGAAGTATATGAGCATTATCCCTGATGACCTGAGGAATGCGCAGGCGCGAGAGACTGCTCGGGATAAAGCAAAATATTACTATGAGCAAGCTATCTCTTTCTGCCAAAGGGATAAACGACCGAGAGTTCAGATAAAAAAACAAACATATTGTCATCTCGGATTAGCAGCACTGCTGTTAGACTGCAGTTCAACTGCCGCGCGAACACAAGACAAAGAAATTGCACCTACTGCTATTAAAGAAGCCAAAGAACACCTTGATTTTGTTCAGTATGAACTTGATAAGAGTGTACCCACGGGGACACAGGTACAGCTCTTAAAAACTCGATCTGATCAATTCTATCGTCAGAGATTATACCAATTGGCCAAAGAAACGGCCGAGGAGGCTTTTCAGCTCGCTTCCACGAATAGATTTAACACTGAATTAGTCACTCTTCAAGAAAGGATCCAGTTTCTTGACGTAAAGCTTGAGGTTGCCAAAGAAGTTACTATCATGGAAATAGGAGATACCCATAGTGAAAGCTGCTGTAGCGGCACCGAGTAAAGATCACGAGATTATAAATTTGAAAAGGATTGAATAAGTATCACAATTAAATAAAACAAGATCAGAAGAATATCATATCTATACTAAGTATACGACATACTCTGTGGTGGAAACACAGTAACTTTGCCTGTTTTTGACGTTCTTTTGATCATTTGTGTATTTACTTTTTGCCATTATTTATTTTATTTTATCCATTCGCTTGATTCCTTTTCACTATAATTTGAATAGTGGTCAGTGATAATTTTTTCGACAAGGAACAAGTGTTCGTCTATAATGTGTGACAGAGAAATTACTATTTCAATATCAATCGTGCTCAGGGTCAGGTGAACAATGATAGTAATATCATACATATTTCTAAAAATATGAGCGCTTTTTTACATATTTATTGTTTTATCGTCAGCCATTATACCACCTGACAATAGAAACGCCCGAGAAGGCTAAAGTGTGGCTTCCTCCTATAGATATAACTTAGAATTAAACCCTCTAATTAAATTAATTAAAGTACTGGGCAAGATACTAGAAAAATTCAATCTGCGTTAGCATTGCAGCTAGCCGTGCATGATGTAAATACCGATAGACATAATTATCTTGACTTGGGGGATTGCCATTTCTCTTAATTATGTTGCAACCCTTTGCGGGCTTCTTAGTAACTGACGTAATACGTAGTTGTGGTCAAAATATCCAGAGACTTTTCCTTATAGTAAACCTATAAGTTAAAGTTTATAGAAAACATCAGAATGACTGGTATCATAAATAAACATGTTATTCGTCTCTCTAAATTAAAAAAACGCATGGCAATTTACGTATTATCAAGGATCATCGAGTAAGGGTTCAGGTCAAAAGGAAAACGTACATTCATCTCAGTCTTACAACGTTACTCCTAGATTGCGTTTCAACTGCCGCGCGAACCCAAGCGAAAGCTATTCCCTTAAGTGACATAAAAGAAGCTGAAGACCTCCTCAATTTCATTCAGTATGATCTTGATGACATCCTCGCAGGCACAAGAGTGCTGCTCTAGAAAAAAGATCGGATCAGTTTTATCACCAAGGACTTCTGCAACTTACTAAGGAGTTAGTTGAGGAGGCTCTTCATCTCGCGTCCTCCAATAAATTTAACACCGAATTAGACGTTTCTCGACGATAATCTTGATAAAAACAAGCTAGTTGTTCCTACAGATCTCTAGCAATCAAGTAGCGAAACCTGTTGTAGTGAATAGAGATTGGCCGATTAAAATCATCATCTCGCCATTCAATTTCCTAACACAACTTACATGAACTGTCGACTGGTAAGACAGTTTTATTGTTAAGCAGTTATTCAATAAGAAGTCCATGAAATCGTGCAATCCAGTGAGGCTGTACTGAATGTATTCAAAATCACGCCATTATTTCTGAATCCATCGTTAGAAAATTGCAAAATTTACTTGACACTTTACGTCTCCAAAATTTTTAAAAATTTTTTCAAGCTCCTCAAAGACTGAAACTAAGAAAATATCCAGAAGTTGCTTGAATCCAGAAATTGGAAGACACTTGAACATTTCTAATCCCTTAGAGCGATAGTTGAAGATATCACTCCATCAATCTTACTTTCCTGCGCCTTTAAGGTAACAGAATATTCTCCGGTGATTGCAAAGCTTTTAATTTGGGTTACTGAATGTACGCTTGTCAATTATTGCAGTCATGACCACTTTAACAAAACAGGATATAAAGGGCAAATGGGACACAATTTCGATACTTTATCAAGTGCGTGACATGTGCTAAATGTTGCACTATAAGATTGATATAGTCTGTTTGCTAATGTAAATTTGCATAAATGCTAATATGACTGAAAACGATTTTATTATTTAGGTACCGTTTCGGGTCTGAAGATTACACTATAACGATGTCTCTGGGAAAAAAGTCATTCTAGAAAAGAAAATTTGCCTAGAAGAAGCAACTACCAATATTTACGTCATGTTATCGCGTCTTTCGCTTTCGAACTGGCAAGCGTGCTTGTATTTACTTTATCGGAATCATAAATATTTCATTCTTTCTGCTACCTAAATGTTGTAACCGCCACTGTTATAAAGGCCTATAATATAGTCTCGTCTTTACTCTGACGAAAGCATTGATGATTTTCTGTTTCAGTTTACTGCGTGGCTGCGTGGAAAATATCACATAAATCCGCCGAGGACATCCTTGCGTCGACGAGATTAAAGAAAGAATTCAAACCTGTTTGTCATTGTAAACAAATCAATCAAAGTTCCTTGTCGTCCGTCAAATAGTCACAAAAGTTTGGCGTTCTATTTGGTATAACTCCGAGGCATTACAAACGCTAGAGCAGGAAGAATATATTTACGGTGAGTAGTGACGAGACGTAGAGCCAACAGGGGGGGAGGTACAATCAGACTCTGCTCCAAAGACAAAGGGTAGCCTTCTAGACCAATACAGGCGACCTGCAGCATTGGTGGCCTGCCAACTTCAAACTTTTGGGGAAACGCAACACTGTTCACAGACTGAGTGGCGCGATACTTTCATTGCCAGCGTTGACCCTCCATTGATCCAATTTAAACGAAAAACCGGGATGTCTAAACGGACAAGAGTGCGAGAGATTCCTGAAAAAACTTGAGCTTCTGTAGGTCGCAGGAAAGTTTGCTGAATATGAGCACCTTGTTACTGCGTGTATTTAACGTTTTGCGGATGGGGAAATCCGGACATGGAGTTGGCCTTAAAAATGCAGCAGGGAGTGGCCTTTTCTTATCATAAAGAGTCTAAAAAGAGCAAATGTATGTTTTCCTCAGTCATACAATCAGAACAAACACTAAATTGCGATGTTACGAATCCTAGTATTTTAACGGCAAGATCCTATTTTTCACTTGTAGCTGACTACACAAATAGAAAGTCGGTGGTCGGTGATAATTTTTTCAACAAGGAACAAGTGTTCGTCTATAATGTGTGACAGCGAAATTACTATTTTAATTTCAATCGTGGTCAGGGTCAGGTGAACAATGATAGTAATATCATGCATATTTTTAAAAAGATGAGCACTTTTCTATTTATGTCTCTTCGTCAGCCATTATACCACCTGACAATAGAAACAGCCGAGAAGGCTTAAGTGTGGCTTCCTCCTATAGATATAACTTAGAATTAAACCTTCTAATTGAAATAATCAAAATACTGGGCAAGATACTTGAAAAATTAAATCTGCGTCAGCATTGCAGCTAGCCGTGCATGATGTAAATACCGAAAAACATAATTATCTTGACTTGGGGGGTTGCCATTTCTCTTAATTATGTTGCTACCCTCTGCGGGCCTCTCAATAACTGACGTAATGCGCGTTTATGGTTTATATATCTCAGGGACTTTCCCTCACAGGAAATAAACCGATTGGTTAAAATTTATATGCAAATATGACATGAAAGATATGATGATTCTATAATTCACCTCTCCGAATTTAAAGAAAGTAGGACAATGTATACATATCATCCTTTTCTTAACAAAACGAAAACATGGCTTTGTTTTAAACAATTCTTGCGATTATCTCGACAGAAACCTTTTTTCACGGTTAAATCTACAAGAAACTATAGCTTTCACTAACTGGAACAGAGCATCTTTATGGTGCTGTCGGGGAAGAACATAAACAAACTTCGTCACCGAAACAGATTATTCGACGTCTTCGTCTTCTTTCTTCTAACAGGTTCAAAATCACCAGTCCAAGGATACAACGCTGGAAACAACGAATTATTACTCTTGAACAAACATGGATGACCAAACAAGAAATACGCCTGTAAGCGTTGGCGTTTATAGCAACGTTAAACAAATTGCAAAAGAGCGCACAGACCATGGACAGACAACTTGCACCGACATGAAAGGCTCGTTATCTAGTTTTCCTTCCGGTGATTCAGTCTCGATTGTTTCTGAAGTAAGATCTAAAGCACACACCAAATCTTGGACGTTAATGGTCTCAAGCTCAAGCGTCGTACTGGTCGGTCAGTCAAGCATAGAACAAGGAAAAAATGATCATTGCTGTGGCCAAGAAAAGCTTTCTAAAGAAGTACAAGCCCATTGCCGAAAGGCAGACTCAGATGGAATTGTTTCATACAATGTTGAAAAACCGATGCCCTTAATCAAGAAACAAGGGTATCTCAAAGGACCACAATGCGAGAGAATCCTAGAAAAACTTGAGATTTTGCAAGACAATGGACATTTTAACGAACACGAAAAATTAGTCACGTCGTTGCTTCAGCGTTGTGCCAATGGAAAGGAACCTGACTTGGAGTTGGCCTTAAAAATAGAGCGAGGAGTGGCCTTTACTTATCAGAGAGAGTCTCGAAAAAGCAAGAGTATGTTTACCTCAGTCATACAATCAGACAAAACCAAAACGTGTCATGCACTTAATTCGAATATTCTGATGGCAAGAGCCTACTTTTTACTTGTGGCTGACAAAAGAAGAAGAAAGCCTGTGAAGTTACCTCGGCTCTTTGAATACCTTGAGCGCAGCGAGTTTTTGTTGCAAAACTACGACTCGCCGGAAGATTGGGCCGAACTCTACCAAAAATACGGTCACCTTTGGATGGATCGCATGAGCCTTATACCGGATGACCAGCGGAATGCACAGGCGCGTACAATCGTCAAAGAAAAGGCGATATACTGTCTTAAGAAAGCTATCTCTTGCAGCCAAGAGGATCCTCGACTAAGGGTCCAGGCCAAAAGGCAAAGGTACACTCATCTCAGTCTTGCAGCATTACGCCTTGATTGTGTTTCAACTGCCACGCGAACCCAAGCGAAACCTATTCCATTAACTGACATAAAAGAAGCAGAAGAACACCTCAATTTCATTGAGCATAATCTTGGTGACAATATCCCCACAGGCACAAGAGTACTGCTCTTGAAAAAACGATCGGATCAGTTTTATCGCCAAGGGCGTCTGCAACTTGCAAAGGAGAAAGCTGAGGAGGCTCTTAATCTCGCCTCCTCTAATAAATTTAACACCGAAATAGACCCACTGCAAGGACGTATAACGTTTCTCGACGATAAAATTGAAAAAAACAAGCTAGTTGTTTCTACAGAACTCGAGTATTCAAGTAGCGAAACCTGTTGCAGTGAATAAATATTGGAAAGATGGAGAAAGATGTCGATGCAAAAAGGAAATCTAGTCCAAAAGGTTCGAGCCAAAAAAATTACAAAATAAATAAGTAAATGCTCCAAAATTATTTGGGAACAAAATAAAAGTCTAATAAGATGGCCTTCATGACGATTTCTCTTATTGTTCTTTACTCTTCCTTTCATTTATTTTTCCAGAATATTTCTTCCGAACCAATCATTCAAGTCTTTTTCTTTCCATTCGAGGAAAAAAATCAGTTTCTTCGCCTTCCCTCTAAAACCGCGGTCGATGAGTACATAATAATTCCTCGATTCCTGAATAGTGGCAAACCAGAAAAAAAAGTGTTCTTATTGTGCAATTTTGAAAATTTTTTTCTGAAAAAGTTCGCCTTAGCCGACGCAGATTAAAATTAACATCACGTCATTCAATTTCCTGGCAAAACTGACACGGATTGTCGCCTAGTAAGAGAGTTCTGCTTTCATTGTTAAGCAGTTTACTGACCTCGTTCAACAGCAAAGGAAAGTACAAATGATGTAATGATATAATGCCTGATGACTCACGCGACGAATTTTTGCCGGAAAACGAACGTGAGGGATGCAAAAAACTAAGCCACTATCTACGCACCTACGTTAGCAGTCGCCAGCAGTCGCTAACAGTCGCCTGGGTTATTATATCGTGTTGCGTCAGTATTGCAGCAAGCCGTTTTAAGCAATAACAAAGATATAAAGGGAATTTCCCTTTGATTACAATAAACCTATTCATATGTAAATTGCATTTATGAGGGCTGAATACTTAAACTTTAAAGAAAAATTCGCGAGGGATCTCTATGATGAAAGTTGCTTTTTCGACCATAATTCCAAGAAACCCTCGCTGCAAACAGATCGAAACAATCATTTTTCAATAGAAATTTGAACTCGCAAGCCCTAATTAAATCACACCCGAAGAAATAGCTAAAAAGTCGGAGAAGCATTTTGGACATATTAACATCGACAACGAACCACGAAACAAAACAGAAATGGTGTGAACATGAACGTAAAGTCGTACATCGCACATTCCCGGTTGGGGAAGTATAAAGGCAAGTTCATCACAACGTGGAAGTGTTTCACATTTCGTAAGTGCTCTGTTGGCAACGTATGTATCTAGCACTCTAGAGAGCTGAAGAAAAATTTCACTAGTTCTCTCTTTTTTCATCAAATGCGTCTCTTTCCCTTAATAAAAGAGAGTGTAGTGATTCTTCCTCAAAATAAACAGGACACTATTCCCAAAGCGCTCACTATTTTCCTTCATCACATCGAGTCTATCTTCATGGCACTGTGGTAAAGTGTCCATTTTAAAATTTCGCAAGTTGCCCCGTATTTCATTGCAAAAATCTTTCAAGCAAAGGTCTTTCACGGTCTAGTTGAGGCAGGATGTAGTTTGCATTTAACAACTGAAAGCTTTTTAGAGGTGGAAGTAAGAAAAGTACATCACGATTTTTTAAACCTTCTGGGGAGCAAGGAAATTGTTTCTAGTTATCACTGGCTTTGAAAATGCTGGTTAGAATTGCATTGCTTGATTAGTAAGGGTAATTCATTAGTTTTGTTTTAATTAATTATGAGGTTTGTGAAACCGAAACTTTACAAATTTGAGAATCAACTGTATCATTATGTAAAAGAATGTAAGAAATTAAGACTCTTCGAAAAATTGTATCAATGTATTTCCTGCGAAAAGCCCTGATTAATGAATATTTATGAAAATTATACAAATTAAGAAAAAGATCGCGATGATTTTCTTGCACAGAACCATTAGTGTTACTCTCTGGCGCCCTCTAGAGGCCTAATCACAATGACACGATCACAATGGCATTCAAAGATTCCTTTTCAATAGTTATAAGTAAAAATAAAGGTTTTCAAAAAGCTCTAAAGTTATATTATAAGTAGATACCTTTAAATCAGTTAAATTACTGTTACAGTGAACGGAAGCCTCTGAGACAAGTTGACGAGTTGGAATAATACAAATCACTGAGATTGTACTTGTAGCATAGTTTCAACATTTGTTTGTCTCTCTTTTCTTGCGATGCAACATATACAGAAATAAAGTGAAGGGTACACTTCATCGTATGGCCGCGTCTTGCTCGGTAATCCCTATTGGCAAAGTGGCTATAGTCAACAGTCTTTGCAATTTTTCTTTGTGGACGGGATGAAATGGTTGACCATCCACAGACATCTCTCTCTTTTGTAATATACCGTCGCATACCCCGAGCCCAACGATACACTTCAGAATGTCTTCTTCCTGAAAAAGAAAAAATTATAAATAACTGTAAATTTCCTTCTCTTCAAAGATCTTGCGGGTCCGAGATGGACCCTTAATCTTTTATATGTAATTCAGGAACTTAGTACCGGAACCACATAGGGACGCAAATTAAGATACTCACTACTTTTCCTGGAACTACCGACCCAGGCAACTTTTTTCAAAGTGGACGAAGTCTCGAGTGGTGTACATGCATAAGTTACCCAGGAAGCCCATTTTATCTTATAAAATTCCTTCCGATATCTTTTTCTTTCGTATCACGGCGACTTTTTCCGTTTATTGCTGTGCCTGTGAGCTGTTTTTTAAAATCTGATTAGTTCGTTTTGACACACCTATACGCATCCGATGTTTGGGTTCAATAATTATTGTAGAGCCTAAAGTTAACTAATATCGAGGGTCAGTTCGGTACGCAAAAAGAAGACTTCATCGAAGGCATTACCATTTCCACCGTATTCAAGACTTCTTTGGTAAGAACAGGTGTATCAGGCAAAATTCCTCGTCTGACGTACGGTGAGTGCACCGGGCACTGACTTAAGATGGCCAGAGCTGCCACTAACGCCGATCCGCCCCAATTGGAAACACCCGAGGTGATCAAATGATCAGTGGCAACCGTAGTAGCGATGTGTTGTCCATTTTTAATGCCATCGACGACCATTTGGTGGACCTTTCCCATTCCGATCTCATTACCACCATCACCGATTCCGATTGTGGCAATTTTTCCTGACTTTTTAGCTGAAAGAGAGGAATAAGGTCCATATAAAGTACCTTGTTGAGAGAAGTCTCATAATTTCGTCACCGTTATGAGAGATTTTATGGTAAATGAGTTAAAAAAGATTGCTCTGAGTGAGGTCCTCATGTTATACCATTTTTTGTTTTGATGATAAAAGCGCATGGAGACAAATTTCATCAAATAAACTCTTCGAAATCGATTTTTAGTAAGACTAACTTCTTTTGATAAGTTGGCGATTCTCCAGCAAATTAACATCTACTAGTCAAGAAACGGCATTTACAAATTTCTTTGAAAGTCATTACAATGTCATAAATGTCTCAAACACTCAGATCAAAAGGGCTCCACCTTTTAACTGGCGATTGGGAGCATGAATGAATATCTTGGTGCAGGGTTTGTAAGTACACTTCCCATTAACTTATAATTATAGCTACCTTGAATGAAAACTTCGTCCACTGGACTGACTTTACAAATCTCGGACAAGTCCCTTGCTTTCATGGTCATGTAACGGCCCTCTTCTGTCCTACCAACTGCTTCTATGGCAACTAAAACGTCAAACTTTGGACTCATTTGATTCGTTGGATTGTGAAACAGCAACGTTTGAGCAGCTGCTCTGACCCCGCCAGAGCCATGTGTCCGTTGTGGCGTGAACTCCACAACACAAGCTTTGTTTCTCAAAAATGTTTCGACAAGTACCTGCACTAATTTGACGTGATAGTAACTTGCAATAAATGTTACCTCCTTTCCAAGGGCTTTGAGAGCTTTACCAAGTGCAATTGCCCCAAGGGGACCATCCGTTTCATCTGGAAACTCATCATTGGTATTGCAAGGGAAACCGAAATGTATTCCTACAAATGACGAGTGTGACAAAACGAGTGCAGCCCGCAGAAGCTCGTCAGCAATGTGAAGTTTAGCGATGCCCCTTTCTCCGATGTCGTCTTGAATCTCCTTTTCGAGACCACGAAGACTGAGGACTGCGCTTTCAGAAACCAAAGAAGCAGTGAAAGGTTTGTCTTTTAATGTTACTACTTGTGGCTTGGTATCTACATGAACAGGCGGATGTTTCATGATGAATTCTGCTACGGTTGTATCACTTGCGATCAACTGCTCCATATTGTCAGTAAAGGTCAGCGGTAAGCCTGTCAGAGAAAGAGTGAAATACTCAGATAAAGAGAAAGATGTTTTTCGTCTTGTTACCAGCGTGGGACAAAGAAAAAAATATGTAGTCCCCATGAGCAATCGAACCTCAGACCTTCGGATTCCGCGCTCCGATGTTCTACCACTGAGCCACAGGGACTCCACGGTGAGCGAAGTCTATTTCGAATTTCATATGACAAGCGTCCTGCATACTGCTTGGATCAGCAATGTCGATAGCGTCATAGTTGTAAACAAAATAAGAGAGATTGGTAAGTTTTGAGCTCGGTAAAGAAATAGAGAAAGATTTTTTCGTCTTGCCACAAGCGTGGAACAAAGAAAAAATTCTGAGTCCTAGCAGTATGCAGGACGCGTGTTCGGTTCCTCATGGGGACTCAGAATTTTTTTTTCATCCCACGATCGTAACAAGATGAAAAACATCTTTCTGTATTACCGAACTCACTTACCATCTCTCCTATTCTATTTACTCAGATGAACTCACCAAATTAATAATCGCTTTATATATTCTTTATATAGAATTCAAACCTGTCTGTCATTGTAAACAACTCAATGTTCCCTGTTTTCCGGCGTTTCATTTGGTATAAAGAAAGAAACTGCGAGGGATTACAAACGAAAGAGCGAGAGGAAAGTATTTGTTCACGATGAGTAGTAATGAGACGCAGTCTACAGAGCAGTGTTCATCGAACGAAACCGTTGAAATGCTACCGATGGAACTGGAACGAAGAAGATGCGAGGCTGGTAACGATGGAAACACACTGTATTCTGAGAATTCAATCTCAGTTTCTGACAAGGCCACAGAACCAAGAAATTTGAACCTAAGGATCGAATAGAGGAGTCTGGTCATAGTCCAACAATCACTCGCCAAACAGCAGCAGCCTAACTAGGAGCACACCTTCCTTAAACGGGAAACAAAACGTGCCAACGGGGGTGAAGTACAATCACTCTGCTCTAAAGACAAAGGGCAGCCTTCTAGACCAACACAAGCGACCAGCGGAGTTGGTAGCCTGCCAGCTTCAAACTTTTGGGGATACACAACAACGTTCACAGACAGAGTGGCGCGATACTTTCATTGCCAGTGTTGACCCACTAATGCCTTTGATCGAAAAACATGGATATCTAAACGGAAAAGAGTGCGAGAGAATCTTGAAAAAACTTGAGCTTCTGCAGGACGAAGGAAAGTTTGCTGAACATGAGCGCCTTGTTACCGCCTGTATTCACGTTTTGCAGATGGGGAAAATCCGGACATGGAGTTGGCCTTGAAAATAGAGCGAGGAGTGGCCTCTTCTTACCAAAAAGAGTCTAAGAAGAGCAAGTCTATGTTTACCTCAGTCATAAAATCAGAACAAACACAGAATTACGACGTTACAAATCCTAGTATTTTAACAGCAAGAGCCTATTTTTCACTTGTAGAAGACTACACAAATAGAAATTCGGTGAAATTATCCCCGCTATTTGAGTTTCTTCGACGCAGCGAGTTTCTTCTGCAAAATCACGATTCCCCAGAAGACTGGGCCGAGCTGTATTACAACTATGGATCCGTTTGGTCGAAGTATATGAGCATTATCCCTGATGACCTGAGAAATGCACAGGCACGAGAGACCGCCCGGGATAAAGCAAAATATTATTATGAGCAAGCTGTCTCTTTCTGCCGAAGGGATAAACGACCGAGAGTTCAGATAAAAAAACAAACCTATTGTCATCTCAAGTTAGCAGCACTGCTGTTAGACTGCAGTTCAACTGCCGCGCGCACACAAGAAAAAGAAGTTGCACCCAGTGATATCAAGAAAGCCAAAGAACACCTTGATTTTGTTCAGTATAGACTTGGTGAGAGTGTACCTACAGGAACACAGGTACAGCTCTTAAAAACTCGATCTGATCAATTCTATCGTCAGAGATTATACCAATTGGCCAAAGAAACGGCCGAGGAGGCTTTTCAGCTCGCTTCCTCGAATAGATTTAACACTGAATTAGACACTCTTCAAGAGAGGATCCAGTTTCTTGACGTAAAGCTCGAGGTTGCGAAAGAAGTTGCTATCATGGAAATAGAAGATACCCATACTGAAAGCTGCTATAGCGGCACCGAGTAAAGATCACGAGATTATAAACTTGAAAAGGATTGAATAAGTATCACAATTAAATAAAACAAGATCGAAAGAATATTTATATCTATACTTAGTATATGACATCTGGAAACACAGTAACTCTGCCTGTTTTTATCATTCTTTTGCCCTGTTGCGTATTTACTTTTTTCCATTATTTACTCGATTTTATCTGTTCGCTTGCTTTCTTTTCACTACAATTTCAATAATGGTCGGTGATAATTTTTTCGACAAGGTACAAGTGTTCGTCTATAATGTGTGACAGCGAAATTACTATTTCAATTTCAATCGTGCCCAGGGTCAAGTGAACAATGACAATAATATCATGCATATTCTATAAATATGAGCACTTTTCTATATATTTTCATCGTCAGCCATTATCCCACCTTACAATAGAAATAACCGAGAAGGCTTAACTGTGGCTTCCTCCTGTAGATATAACTTAGAATTAAACCCTCTAATTGAAATAATCGGAATACTGGGTAAGATACTTGGAAATTTCAATCTGCGTTAGCATTGCAGCCAGCCGTGCATGATGTAAATACGGATGGACATAATTATCTTGACTTAAGGGATTGCCATTTCTCTCAATTATGTTGCTACCCTCTGCGGGCTTCTCAATAACTGACGTAATGCGTGGTTATGACTTAAATATCACAGGGACTTCCCCTCACAGGAATTAAACCGATTGGTTAGAATTTATATGCAAATATCAGACGAAAGATCTGATGAATTATTATTTCACCTTCCCTAATTTAAAGAACGTAGGACAAAGTACGTATCATCCTTTTCTTAACAAAACGAAAGCATGGCTTTATTTAAAATAATTTTTGGGATTCTCTCGACGAAAACCGTTTTTCACGGCTAAATCTAGAAGAAACTCTGGCTCTCATAAACAGAACAGAGTATCTTTATAGTGCTGTCGAGAAGGAACATAATCAAACTTCATCGCCGAAACAGAGTATTCGACGTCTTCGGAGGAATATCTCTTTCTTCTAGTGGGAGGTAATCCGCATCTACCTTAGATTACACTGGTTCAAAATCACCAGTCCGAGGATACAACGCTGGAAACAACGAATTATTACTCTTAAACAAACATAAATGACCAAACAAGAAATACGCCGGTAAACGTTGGCATTTATCAGCAACGCTAAAGAAACTGCAAAAGAGCGCACAGACAATGGACAGGCAACTTGCACCGACATGAAAGGCTCGTTATCTAGGTTTCCTTCCAATAATTCAGTCTCGACTGTCTCTGAAGTAAGATCTAAAGCTCACACCAAATCTTTGACGTTAATGGTCTCAAGTTTCAGCGTCGTACTGGTCGGTCAGTCAAGCATAGAACAAGGAAAAAATGATCATTGCTGTGGCCAAGAAAAGCTTTCTAAAGAAGCACAAGCCCATTGCCGAAACCAAGACGCAGGTGGAATTGTTTCCTACAGTGTTGAAAAACCGATGCCCTTGATCAAGAAACAAGGGTATCTCAAAGGACCACAATGCGAGAGAATCCTGGAAAAACTTGAGATTTTGCAAGACAATGGACATTTTAACGAACACGAGCATTTAGTCCTATCGTTGCTTCAACGTTGTGCCAATGGAAATGAACCTGACATGGAGTTGGCCTTAAAAATAGAGCGAGGAGTGGCGTTTTCTTATCAGAAAGAGTCTAAAAAGAGCAAGAGTATGTTTACCTCAGTCATACAATCAAACAAAGAAAGAACGTGTCATTTACTTAATTCGAATATTCTGATGGCAAGAGCCTACTTTTTACTTGTGGCTGACATACGGAAAAGAAAGCCTGTGAAGTTACCTCGGCTCTTTGAATACCTTAAACGCAGCGAGTTTTTGTTGCAAAACTACGACTCGCCGGAAGATTGGGCCGAACTCTACCAAAAATACGGTCGCCTTTGGCTAGATCGCATGAGCCTTATACCGGATGACCAGAGGAATGCGCCAGCACGAACGACCGCCAAAGAAAACGCGAGATGCTATTTTGAGCAAGCTATCTCGTATAGCCAAAAAGATCATCGACCAAGGGTTCGGGTTAAAAGGCAAAGGTACATTCGTCTCAATCTTGCAACATTACTCCTAGATTGCGTTTCGACTGCCGTGCGAACCCAAGCGAAAGCTATTCCCCTAAGTGACATAAAAGAAGCTGAAGAACACCTCAATTCCATTCAGTATGACCTTGGTGACAGTGTCCCCGCAGGTACAATGATACAGCTCTTGAAAATTCGATCGGATCAATTTTATCGCCAAGGATTTCTGCAACTTGCGAAGGAGACAGCTGAGCAGCCTCTTCATCTCGCGTCCTCCAATAAATTTAACACAGAATTGGACCCTCTACGAAGACGTATAACGTTTCTTGTCGATAATGTTGAAAAATGTAAGCTAGTTGTTTCTAAAGAACTCGAGCAATCAAGTAGCGAAACCTGTTGTAGTGAATAAATATTATCCGATTAAAATCAACATCACGCTAGTTAATTTCCTAACACAAAAACATAAACTGTCAACTGGTAAGGTAGTTCTGCTTTCATTGTTAAGCAGTTGATTAATCTCGTTCTACAGCAGAGTAAAGTACAAATAATATAATGATGTAATGCCTGATGACTCACGAGACGAAATTTTGCCGGAAAACGAACTTGGGGGATGGAAATATTTAGCCACTATCTGTGCGTCTACGTTGGCAATCGCCAGCAGTCGCTAACAGTCGAGCTCCATCGTTGATATCTGACGTAATGCGTGACCATAGATAAGATATCAAGGGACTTCCCCCTTACAGGAATGGAAACCCATTGGTTAGAATTTATAAGCAGACATCAGACTGACGGTATCATACATAAATATGTCATTCGTCTTTCTAAATTAAAAAAAAACGTGGAGCAATGTTATACTTAAATAACAAAGGAAACATGGCTCTATTCAAAATTATTCTTGGGATTATCTCGACGAAAACTGTCTTTACAGGTAAATCTACAAGAACCTGTGGGTTTCATTGAGTGGATAAAAATACTGAAACAGATGCAAATATTAAGCCACAATATTGATAAAAAGGGAATTTCCCTTTTGATTACAATAAACCTATTGTTATGTAAATTGCATTTATGAGACTTAGAGCTTTTCATGTAAATGATCTCTTCGATGGAAGTTGCTTTTTCAACTACAATTCCAAGAAACCATCTCCTTCGAATACATCAAAACATTCTTTAAAAATTTTGAAATAGGAACTCGCAAGCCCTAGTTGAATTACACCTGAAGGAAATTGCTACGAAATCCAAGAAGCATTTCGGACATTTTAACATCGACAACTAACCCCGAATCAAAACAGAAATGGCATCTTCATCTAACACCGCTAAAGATCGCTCTAAAGAACTCACAAACCATGGACAGCCATCATCCCACGAAGGGAAAGACTTGTCATCAAAGTTTCTTCCCGAAGCCTCGATTATCGCTCATGCAAAATTAACACAAAATACTTTGAACGTAACAGTCGCAAACTGCAACATGATTTTAGTTAGCCAGTCAAACAAAGAACGAGTAAGACGTAATCATTGTTGTGACCAATGCAGGCTTCAGTGCGAAAATAGTCGAAAAGAACCCGACTCTGACGATTGTATTGAGCAACGAAAGAGAGTGACAGAAAAAGTCGAATGTCAACAACAGGTTTTCGGCAAAGGCGAGGTTAGATCAGACAGCGGTCCAAAGGGAGCAAATTGCATCCTCAACCAGACAGCAAAAGGAGTGGTAGACTACCAAGTTCAGCCTTTGAGTGCAACACAAAATAGTAAACACGCTGACTCAGGTGAAATAATTATTAAAAGTGTTGAACTACCGATGGCCCCAATCAAGGTAGAAGGAGATCTAAGTGGAAAGCATGGCATGTGCGAGCGACTCTTGGAAAAGCTCGAGGTTTATCAAGATAACGGACACTTCGATGAACACGACAGCCTCGTCACAAGGGCAATGCATTTTTATGAAGGAGAAAAAAAAAATGCGGACATGCTGTTGGTCTTGGAGATAGAGCGGGCAGCTCCTCTCTCTTACAAAGGTCAATGGAAGCTAGCCAGGAAAAAGCTTATTTCAGTCGCAAATTCTAACCTAAAGAGTCGAGCTTCATATTCAGACATTATAACGGCAAGAGCCTACTACTTACTTGCGGCTCACATGAGAAGAAATGAAAGGTACAGAAACTCAAAATTTCCCCTGCTCTTGGAATTTCTTCGACGCAGCGAATATCTACTGCAAAATTATGACTCACCAGAGGACTTATCTGAGCTCTACCAGACCTATGGCGCTCTTTGGCTGGATCGTATGAGCCAAATACCGAATGCCAGGAGAAATGCACGTGCAAGAAACGCCGCTTGAGAAAAATCAAAATACTATTTTACGAAAGCTATCTATTTCAGTCAACAAGATTATCGCCCGCGAGTTAGGATTAAAAGGCAAATGTATGCCCACCTCAAGCTTGCCACAATACTCCTGGATAGCTGTTCAACCTTCGCACTGGCTCAAGAAAAACCAATTCCACCCAGTGACATTGAAGAAGCCGAAGAGCACCTTGAAATCATCCAGTTCAAACTCGGTGGCAGTATACCGAAGGCAACGTTGATGCTACTCTTTAAAACCCAATCGGATCAACTTAATCGTCAAGGACGATTCCATCTGGCTAAAGAAAGAGCCGAGGATGCCTATCAGCTTGCATGCCTCCACCAATTCAACACAGAATTGGAAACCCTCCGTGAAAGAATCAACTTCCTTGACAACAAACTCCAAACACCAAACACCCGACCAGATTGTTATCAAAGGACATGATCATGCCAGCAGCGACACCGGCTACAATAACAGTGGAAGTCACTCACAATAGACATGAAAAATTATAAATTGAAATCTGCAAATTTCATCTGTAGAACATTGTTGATTTGTAAGCTAGCCTTCATTCGCAACTAGTTTAAGGGTTTAACTTAATTTACAGCAGATGAAACTGTAATTGTAAATGGTAATGATGGAGCGTTGACGGAACAGTACTGAAAATTGATAACAGAAGGCAACTTGGCTTGAATCTGTCACGCAATGTATTTCAAGATCAAGAAAGAGGATTGAATTCCTCCCCTTTTCATCTTATTGTTTTTCCCGATATTTAAGAACATCCCCGGCATCGAAATGATGTCATCTCTAACGAATCATGTGACGGCTTTTAGACGGAAATTTAAAGCCCCTATATGCAAAGGGTCTTCCCCTTTCGGATACAAGATAAATATTGTTTAAAAGGCTCAAATAGCAAATAAAAGGCACGGATATTATTTTTTCGCAGGATTTCATCGATGATAAATTCAATTGTCGGCTACAACTCCTAGATCCTTTCGCCCGCGCTCGAATAAGGACAACCTTAAAGATTCTCTAGAGCTTTATCCAAATCATACCCGAGAGAAGCAGCCAAAACAAGAGCATAAGCGTGAAATCTGAGAGACAGAACCATCAAAATAACATCGTCGACGACGCACGAAACAAGGACGAATGGCATCTACCCTCGCTGAAGATCTCTCTAAAGGAAGCACACACCATGGACAAACATCTTACGATGGGAAAGGCTTGTCATCAAAGTTTCCTCCTAATGCACCGATTATTGCTCGAGCAAAATTTGAGACGGTCGCAAACACCTTGAACGTATCACTCGCAAACTGTGGCGTCATTCTAGTGGGCCATCCAAACACAGAGCAATTAAGCAGAAATCGAGACTGCGAAAAAGATAGGCTTCAGAGCGAATATAGTCCAAAAGAAGCCGACTCGAATGATCGAAATGAACGACAAAAGAGAGTGATAGAAAAAGTCGAATGCCAACGACAGCTTTTCAGCAAAGGCGAAGTTCAACCTGACGACGGTCAAAAGGAAGAATATTGTACCCTGAACCAATACCAGACATCAAGAGGAGTCGTGGACTGCCAACTTGCGCCGTTAAGCGAAACAAAAGAAATAGAACACTCAGACTCGAATGGAACGAGTTGTGCCCATGTGAAACTACCGATGGCCTCAATCAAGGTAAAAGGCGATTTTAGCGGAAAGCATCGCGAGGGCGAGCAACTCCTAAAAGCGCTCGAGCTTTGTCAAGATAACGGAATGTTTGTCCAACACAAGCGCCTTGCAATGGAGAAAATTCACTATTATGAAGATAGAAAAAATGCTGACATGGTTCTAGTCTTAAAGATAGAACAAGCAGTGGCCCTCTCGTACGAAAACAAATCCAAATTAGCGAAGAAAATGCTTATTTCAGTCACGGAATCTGACCTGAATGGTCAAGCCTTATACGGAGATGTCATATCGGCAAGAGCCTTCTATGTACTTGCGGCTCACATGAGGAGAGAAGAAAAGCACAGAAAGTTAAAATTAACTCTGCTGTTTGAATATCTTCGACGCAGCGAACATCTCTTGCAGCAGTACGACTCTCCAGAAGACTGGGCTGACCTCTACTACACCTATGGTTGTTTATGGTTAGATTACATGAGCCTGATACCGGATGACACGAGAAATGCTCGTGCCCGTAACGCCATGCGGAATAAAGCGAGATGCTCTTTTGAGAAAGCTCTCTTCTTCAGTCAAAAAGACCATCGATTAAGAGTTCGAATTAAAAGGGAAAGATACGCTCACATCAAACTTGCATCAATTCTCCTTGATTGTTGTTCAACTACCGCACGCATTCAACAGAAAACCATTCCACCCAGTGACATCAAACAAGCTGAAGATCACCTGGATATTGTTCAGTTCAAACTTGGTGACTGTATCCCCAAGGGTACATGGATACAGCTCTTAAAAACTCGATCAGATCAGTGTTATCGTCAGGGATCATACAACCTGGCCAAAGAGACAGTAGAAGAGGCTTTCAGGCTCGCTTCCTTTCATAAATTTGACACTGAATTAAACACTCTACAAGAGATGATTGAATTCTTTGCGATGAAACTTCATTCTCACCTAGTTTTCACTGAAGAACTCGAAGTTTCAACCAGCGAAGCTGCCTACAGTGCCAGTGGGTCAAATTCAGGATAGAAATGAACAGTGCACAAATTTAGACAATAAAATTTGATGACACACAAGAAGTCTGCGCAAAAAAAGACCCTTAATGTTGGATATTATCTAGGTACAGATTTATCAAACAATATAAAATCTCGACTTCGATCTGATTGACTCGTTTTTAATACTGATAATTCAATAAAAACTGGTTATTTTACGCCCAAATTTGGTACAAGTTCAAATAATATTTACTCTGACGTCATGCAGTTTTCATAAAAGATAAACGAAGATGGATGACATATTTGTATTTAATTAAGGATGAAACTTCGGTGGATTAGGTATTTGAACCAGATTACTACAGTGCCAGTGGGTCAGATTCAGGATAGAGGTGAACACTGCACAAATTTAGACAATAAAATTTAATGAAACACACGTCTGCGCCGAAAAAACCCCTCAATACTGGATATTATTTAGGTACAGATTTATAAAATAATTTAAAACCTCGACTCCGATCTATTTGCTTTTAATACTGATGGTTCAATAAAAACCGGTTATTTTACACACAGATTTAAAGTAGGTTCCAATAATATTTACTCAAACGTCATGCAGTTTTCATGAGATTTGCAAATTTAAAAACAGATTAATTAGATTATCCCTTTACTCCAAAATGAAAGTGGCACGTTTGTGAAGGAAAACTGTAAATACATACTGTCGTTTAAAAAATCAGGTAACTTCCTCTTAACCTTGAACTGAAGCAATTTCTACTTGGAAACGGGGTCAGTTCTTAGACCAACCTGTCCTTTTCTTAAATGTCGGGCAATGGTGGATATCAACTGTCAAAAACACTTCAATGTGTTATCAATATTCGACAATCAAACTATGAAACCGGAAGTACAAAGTACAAAGCCAAGGTTTTAAGGGACTTTTCCTACGTGTTTGGTTTCGAGGCTCAGCTTTCTCCCAAATATTAGTTTAACTCTCTGATACAACAAAATCATTTTGTTGTACTGACGGACAATAAGGTCGTTGCCCTCAAGCTTAATTACAGAAGTCTCTCGAGGAGAATAATCACAACACTGGCTTGCGTGCAGATCAGATCAGATCTTTCAAACGTGTCGAAACGTGGCGCCTTCTACTGTAGGAATATTTAAACAGGAATGAACAATTGAACGGCCTCGAGGAAACATCACTGAGAAACGTCTGGAGTCTGGTTTAGAGTGCGTGTAACCCTGATGCATATTGTAACTGAATTAAATAAGTACAATCCATAAACACATGGAAAAAGTCAGAGAGATTTTGTCTTGATATCGACGCCGACAACGTACTAGCGACGGTCGAGCTAGCGTGTCATCCGGGACCTGACGCACCGCCCTGACCATCATAACGTCACGCAAAAAATTTGAGTCACGCACAGTTCTGCGGTAACAACGAAGAATTCATATTCGGTGGATAAATCTTTGGCTTTTTGCAGACTTCTCCAGCACATAAGTCTTTTCAAACGAAGGCTGAAATCAAAGAGGTATTACCATAACATAAAAATGACGACTCAAGAAACTAGGAAAGGAATGAAATTCCCATCCGGCCCCGCTGAAGACATATCAAACCAGAGCATAGACAACGGACAGCCATCTTGCAACGATGAGAATGGCTCGTTAGTTACGTGTGTTCCTGTCAATTCTGCAAGGGGTATCGCTGAAGCAACAATTCACACCGTCGCAAACACTCTGAAAATTACTATCTCTAACTTCAAAACTGTTGCAGTCGGCAAATCAAAAACGGAACAAGCTTTGAAACCCGTCGACTACCATCGACAGCTTTCTGACGAAGCACGACACCGTACCTTTGTGGACTGTCCCCTGCCCCTAATCAAAATACAAGGATCCCTAAAAGGAATCCAGTTTGAGAAGATCTTGTCAAGACTTGAGGATCTCCAAGACAATGCAAAGTTTGAAGACCATGAACGCCTTGTTACCGCAAGTATGCAAAGTTTTGCGGAAGGAAAAAATCCCGACATGGCTTTAGCGCTGAAAATAGAGCGAGGAGTAGCTTTTGCGTATCAAAAAGAATTCAAGAAAAGCAAGAGCATGTTTATTTCAGTTATAACATTAGACAAACACCAAACGTATAAAGTTATAAATCCGAACATATTACTGGCGAGAGCCTACTTTTTAAGAGTGGCTGATCCTATGGAAAGATCTTCAAAGGAAATGGGTAAGATATTAAAATTTCTAAGGCGCAGCGAATTTCTCTTGCAAAACCATGACTCGCCAGAAGACTGGGCTGAGCTCTATCAGACCTATGGCTGCTTTTGGCTGGATTACATGAGTCTGATACCGGTAAACCGGTGTGCTCACAACACTGCTCGGGATAACGCGATAAGTTCTTTTCAGAAAGCTGTCTTTTACAGCCAACAAGATCCTCGACCCAGAGTTCAGATTAAAAGGCTAATGTACGCTCACATCAAGCTTGCAACAATACTCCTACATTGTTATTCAACTGCCTCGCGGATTCAAGAGAAAACCATTCCACCCAACGACATCAAACAAGCTAAGGAACACCTTGATAATGTTCAGTTCAAACTTGGAAAGGTTATACCCATGGGTACATGGATACAGCTCTTGAAAACCCGATCAGATCAGTTTTATCGTGAGGATAAATACAAACTGGCCCAAGAAACAGTCGAGGAGGCTTACAGACTCGCTTCCTTCCACAAATTTGACACTGAATTAACAACTCTACGAGAGATGATCGAGTTGTTTCAGCGGAAATTTCATTCTCACCTAGTTTTCACGGAAGAACTTCATTTTTCAAACAGCGAAGCCCCTTACAGTGCCAGTGGGTCCAGTTCAGGATAGAGATGGATAATTCGAACTCGCTGAAACGTATATCTTCATGTGTCTGCATAAAACTCGTTTATCTGTATGTGTCGCTGAAAGTTAAATCATTATTCATACTGAAATCATTATTCATACTGAAAAGTAAGATAAACGAATAGCAAGTGTTTTTTTTAGTAAGAAGCCGCGTTTCAATGAACCTGAACTTTTCTTTCACAATTTAGTTGTGAAACCGGAAGTACAAAGTACCAAGGCATGATGTCAACTTCCATTTTAGACATAAGAAGATTTTCGTTTTAAGGTTCAATTTGCATGTAAACATATAAAATATTGTTGGATAAATTCCCTGATTCAGTAAAAGTTACTTTCTCTGGCCGGACGGTGAAAAGGGGTCGCTGCGAGTTTGTTGTGCCTATAAAATTCTTTAAAAATCTAACTTGCATGTAGATAAGAAATTTTAATCCTTTGATGTTGATCAATACAAAAGTCAGACTCGGTTGGGAACATGACGATGGGGCTCTAAAAAAAACCAAGAAAGTCATTCTTCATGTGTGTCTCTCGACTGAAGGATTCCAAAGCTACTTAGTTGGGGCTTCAACAGTAATATCTGCGGCAAAAATACATTTGCTTTGACTGTTTTCTTAATCAAAACATGGTACCCTCCATTAGACGCAATGCTGGATGAAACATACACGGTCGCAAACACTTTGAACGTAACACTCGCAAACTGTAGCGTCCTTAAAGCGAATCATTCAAACATAGAATAAGTAAGCAGCAACGAGACTGCGACAGAGACAGGCTTCAGAGCGAGAATGGTCTAAAAGAAGCCAACTTGAACGATCGTAGTGAACGGAAATGACAGAAAAACTAGAACGCCAACGAAGCTTTTCAGCAAAGGCGAAGTTCGATCTGACAGCTGTTAAAAAGAAGAACATTGCACCCTGAGCCAATACTAGACAGCAAGAGGAGTCGTGAACTGCCATCTCACGCCGTTGAGCGAAACAAAAGAAAGAGAACACACAGACTCGAGTGGAGCGACTACTGCCCGTGTCGTTCTACCGATGGCCTCAATCAAGGTAAAAGGCGATTTTAACGGAAAGCATCGCGAGGGCGAGCAACTCCTAAAAGCGCTCGAGTTTTGTCAAGATAACGGAATGTTTGTCCACCACAAGCGCCTTACGATTGAGAAAATTCAATACTATGAAGATAGAAATAATGCTGACATGGTTCTAGTCTTAAAGATAGAACAGGCAGTGGCCCTCTCATACGAAAACAAATCCAAATTAGCGAAGAAAATGCTCTTATCAGTCACGTAATCTGACCTAAATGGTCAAGCTTTATATAGAGATGTGATATAAGCAAGAGCCTTCTATGTACTTGCAGCTCACATGAGGAGAGAAGGAAAACACAGAAAGTTAACATTAACTCTACTGTTTGAATATCTCCGACGCAGCGAACATCTCTTGCAGCAGTACGACTCTTCAGAAGACTGGGCTGACCTCTATTACACCTATGGCTGTTTATGGTTAAATTACATGATCTCGTGCCCGTAACGCCATGCGGAATAAAGCGAGATGCTCTTTTGAGAAAGCTCTCTTCTTCAGTCAAAAAGACCATCGATTAAGAGTTCGAATTAAAAGGGAAAGATACGCTCACATCAAACTTGCATCAATTCTCCTTGATTGCTGTTCAACTACCGCACGCATTCAACAGAAAACCATTCCACCCAGTGACATCAAACAAGCTGAAGATCACCTGGATATTGTTCAGTTCAAACTTGGTGACTGTATCCCCAAGGGTACATGGATACAGCTCTTAAAAACTCGATCAGATCAGTGTTATCGTCAGGGATCATACAACCTGGCCAAAGAGACAGTAGAAGAGGCTTTCAGGCTCGCTTCCTTTCATAAATTTGACACTGAATTAAACACTCTACAAGAGATGATTGAATTCTTTGCGATGAAACTTCATTCTCACCTAGTTTTGGCTGAAGAACCCGAAGTTTCAACCAGCGAAGCCGCCTACAGTGCCAGTGGGTCAAATTCAGGATAGAAATGAACAGTGCACAAATTTAGACAATAAAATTTGATGACGCACAAGAAGTCTGCGCAAAAAAAAACCCTTAATGTTGGATATTATCTAGGTACAGATTTATCAAATAATATAAAATCTCGACTCCGATCTGATTGACACTTTTTTAATACTGATAACTCAATCAAAACTGGTTATTTTACGCCCAAATTTGGTATAGGTTCAAATAATATTTACTCTGACGTCATGCAGTTTTCATAAAAGATAAACGAAGATGGATAACATATTTGTATTTAATTAAGGATGAAACTTCGGTGGATTAGGTATTTGAGCCAGATTACCATTAACTTGGTGTCCCTGCGGATTATTTTTTGTCTAAAATGATGAGAATATTACGGTAGCAGGAAATTCCTTTAACCTCTGGCTGATTTAACACTCGAAAGGCGACCGGTAGCCATTTTGGTGATATCAACTCTAGTTGGTGTAAATTTAAAAACAGATCAATCAGATTATCCCTTTACTCCAAAATGAAAGCGGCACGTATGTGAAGAAAAACTGTAAATACATACAGTCGTTTAAAAAAGCGCGTAACTTTCTTGTAACCTTAAATTGAAGCAATTTCTACTTGGAAACCGGGTCAGTTCTTGGACCGACCTGCACTTTTCTTAAACTTCGATCAATGGTGGATAACAACTGTCAAAAACACTTCAATGTGTTATCAGTATTCGACATTCAAACTATGGAACCGGAAGTACAAAGTAGGACTTTCCCTACGTCTTTGGTTTCGAGGCTCAGCTTTCACGCAAATATTAGTTCAACTCTCTGATGCAACAAAATCATTTATTTGTATTGACGGACAATAAGGTCGTTGCTTTCGAGCTTACTTACAGAAGTCTCTTTGCGACAAGTTTTTCTGTCGAGGAGAATAATCAAAACACTGGCTTTTATGTAAATCAGCACACAATCGAAGCACTTTCTATTGCATGAATATTTAAACTGGAGTACAAAATTTCCTCGAGGAAATATCACTGAGAAACGACTGGAGTTTGGTTTGACCCAGACGCATATTGTAACTGAATCAAATAAGTACAAGCCATAAACGTAAGGAAAAAGTCAAAGAGGTTTTACCTCGATATTGACGTCAACAACGTACTAAGAAATTCTGACAGTAATGAATTGTACACATAACCCCGCTTATGAATTTTCAAAACAGCTCACAGAACGTGGACAGCCATCATGTTACGATGTTAAGGGCTCGTCATTCAGTTTTACTCCAAAAGATCCAGCCTCCTTCATCGCTCAAGCTAAAGTTGACATCGACCGAAATACTATGAACTTAACACTCGCAAACTGCAGCGTAACTGTGGTTGGCCAGTCGAACACAGAACAAGTAAGTCATAGCTTTTGCTGCAACGACGACGGGGTTCAACGCGATAGCAGCCCGAAGGATGGCAATTGCAGCGAGCGACAAAGGGGTAAAACTGAGAGCCCAGTACGAGCGTTCGATGACTTACAAGGCTGCGAAGTTCTAACCCCAGTTCACGACATTGAGCCGCAGTTGCCAGTTATCGAAAGAACAGGATATCTCAACGGAAAACAATGCGAGCAAATCATGGAGCGACTTGAAGATTTACAAGACAATGGACAGTTTGAGGAACACGATCGTTTGGTTACTTCATACATGGAATATTTTATGCGTAAAGGCAACACTGACATGCAAATGGCAATGATGATAGAACGCGGAGCGGCTTTTTCTTACCAGAAAAAATCCCTAAAGGAAAGCAAGCAGCTTTTCTCCTCGGCGATAGATTTTGGCTCTACATATGAGCTTCGCAATCCAAATATTTTATTAGCGAGAGCCTACTATAGGTACGTACAGGTCTGTAGATATCAAAATAGCAAAAAGCTTCCGCGTCTCCGCCAGTTCCTCGAAAGAGGCGAATTCTTGCTGCAAAACCACGAGTCTCCGGAGGACTTGGCTGAGATTTACTACAACTATGGTTCAATTTATTTGATGCATATGAGTACGATTCCGGATGACGAGAGAAATGCAGAAGCACGAAACAAATACCAGAGGATGGTAAAAAAATACTTCGAAAACACAATTGAAGCGGGCAAGAAGGATCCCAGAGAGAGAGTGCAAGTTAAGAAGCAAATATATGGGCACCTTCGAGTGGCAGCTCTTTTACTCGATTGTATATCAACTGTGGCACGAACTCGAATAAAAGTCATTCCCCCGCAAGATATTGCAGATGCAGTAAAACATCTCGATATTTTGGAGCACCAACTAGCTGATGTTATTCCTCGAGGAACGCGAGTGCAGGTTTTGAAAACCCGCTCTGATCAGTATTATCGACAGGGAAGGGCAATGTACCCACTAGCCAAGAAAACCGCCGAAGAGGCATTGGAAATTGCTCAGCATCATGAATTCACCACTGAGCTGTCTTCGCTTCAAGAGCGCATCGATTTTCTTCAGCAGCTGTGCCACGATATTCCACACAGAGAAAATATAAAGTCTCCTTTTGGCAACGAGTCTGAAACCTCCAGCAATGATGGCAGCGGTGAAACAAGCGCCAGTGAAACGGAACAGAAATGTTGAAAAGACTAACCTTATGTGAAAGTGAAAAGGTGGTGTCTGGATTTATTATTCTTTCAAATTTATCAGGAAAGCTCTAATTCAGTCGTGGAAGAGTTAAAAGAAATATGCCTCTTATCTCATTTAACACATTGCCAAACTCTTTCTTTATCTCTCTGGACGGATCCATGAACTTCAATTTCTGAGAAATGACGCCATAGCTTTTCTTTTAAGACACTCGATGTTTAGAAATATGTGATTTGCAAACGGGAAGAAGTATGTCATTGTTTAATGATTTAAGTTGTGACACAATTGATCTACTTAACTAAAAAAAAAGTGAATATCACGCGCTTTGCATGTGATTAACTTTCACAATTTGAAAAGCGTAGGATAGAATGCTTGTATAAAGTTATTTAAATATCTTGCTGGCTGAAAGGTTTTCTCCACAGAAGAGAATCTAACACTTATGTATGTAGAAGTTCTTTAAATAAATGTCTAGTACTCTGTCTCGAGATTGAGTTTTCAATGCGGCCTAGCGAACCAAAAAAGGTTGAAAAGATACAAACAACGCCATTGATGATTACTTCTCAAATAAATTGCCTTCATCGGTATAAAATGCAAATCAATATTCACCAAGCTCGTCTCGATGAGATATGGAAGAACTCCACTGAGAATTCTAAGAGGAACTGAGATGTCGACATAGAAAAAGGATTTTTATCCATATTTGAAAACCGCAGATGATAGAAACAAAGTGTGGTAGATAACAACATCACATGAGAATTTGCTTGAGTAAGCAAATAAATTACATAAAATAGACTCTTTGTTTTACAAGAAAGAGAGTGGAAGGTGAGTTATATAACACGATCACATGAAAATTTGCTTCGGTAAGCAAATACATTACTTAAAATAGACGCTTTCTTTTACAAGCAAGAGAGTGGAACGTTTGTTTATTTTTATTCCTTTGGTGTTTGTCTACCTTTACAAACGATCATTTCAAAGGTTAACTTAGTTTTTCTGTGGCGCTAAAAATTACTTTAAAATATCATTACGTAACTGCGTTGATAATTTTACCAGAATTCAGACTTCGGGGACTTTCCCTTCAAAATGCAAATGACTCGTGTTGATGCTGCATAAAAATGAAATATGACTCGCTGAGAAAGTTCAGAGTTTTCGAGATTTCACCGAGTATTACTTTACTTCAAGGCTTAACAAAACACCAGAATCGCGTTTGAAGGTACGATCACAGTTTTTCTTTTTTAATTTGCTTTTTTACGTACGATCAATCTGTTGTCTTGTATATTTGTTGAGCAAACATTTGTCTGCGCAGACGCAGAGTTTTCATGAAAGTACGGTTCAAAAGATGGCATGTCGATCGAGGTTCGCTTTGTCACATGACTCTTTAAAAAGCAATACTTTAAGATGTGAGCTGTGAAAGAGTCGCAAGAGAATGACCGTCCCTATTGTGACAGAGGTATTTAAACCTCTTTATCGAGTATTAAAAAAGAAGAAGAACTGGATTTGATGCCCCATTCGATTTGGTGCATTTCCATCTTTTAAAAGACCTACTTGTGCCTTTGAAGTTAGCTTTTTTCGTGACAAAAATCGGCTTGAAAATATCGGGACGTGTTTCCTTTTAAATCTGCATCGAGAGCATAGAGCGAGCTATGCTCCGCAAATATTCATGCGCCTCGCATTTCTTTTGACACATTTAGACTTCGAAATATTTCAGAGCTCGTTGGCCAAAATGATACGATTTATTAAACATTTGCGGTTTCCCTTGCTCTAAAGACGATTGTGATCGGCTGATTAGTAATCATGTGGCCATGTGTACCGAGGAGGTAAATTTATTGAATGGGATCAATGTCTACGTTTTGCAAGTGACCAGAACGTGGCTGAGGCTGGTGGTGTGTTTATTATCGTCTCCTACTTGGTGTTAGCGTTACTCTTGACTGAGAATGAAAATCGACAACTGGAAAATTTGCCACCGGCTAATTTTGGCCGTTTACCTGAAAGACTTCTTCTTTCGGTAAGGACAAAGTCAATAAATGAGAATTTTGTAAATTGAAAATTACGACCATTTTTTTTTGGTAATCATGATTCAACGTATTTTTCCATCTTAAGAGTCAGCACCAACGCACTCTACGATTGTTATTCGAGGATTGTCGATTCGTTTATTTTCATTCATTAATGAATTCGGCTTTTCTTCCCAGTAAAGGGCTATTGTGTTTATATGATAAACAAAATAATACATGGTTGCTTGTAGATATGGAATTTTTCTACTCATGTTCAACTCGACAGCTCACGAGTGAGCTATCGAGTTAAACAGTCTAAGAGAAATTCCATATCTACGCGCGCCCATGTGTTATTCTCTATTTCTATCTGAAGGGATTTCAATTCAAGTTTGCAAATTCGCTGTCAGTCCATCAATCAAGGATATGGCACAACGCCTAAAAGATCTACCTAACAACGAAATGGAAGAACTACCAAATGAAACCGGAACTGCTGCAAAGACTCTAATATTTGATCAATGTGAACATCTTTCATATACGCCAAGCTCGTATCAGTTGCCGAGCAAACATCCAAATGCTTCAGCTGTAACACCACAGCAGTCTTCTTTGGAAGTGCAGCAAGGCAAAATTCATCAAAGTGTCCGTCAAGCGAGTTTTCAGTGTACCCATCCATCATGGGTGAGTCAAGGACAGCACTCCCCATATGAGGGCGTTGCCGAAGCACAAGGGGACACGCTGGGAAACGTCTTACTGCTGGCCATTACCGATTGTGAGATGGCGATAGTAAGCCAGTCAACTGAAAAGCGAAAGCAGAGTTACTGCGAACATTGTTCCAAAACAGGGAAAACCGATGTCAACACTTGCGAAGACGAAGAAAAACAGAACGCAGTATGTTCCAACCACGTGCCTAGTAGTATAGTAGAGATGGAAGACATTATGTCAGCAAAGCAAAATGAAGAACACAGTAAAATGCAGTTGAATGAGGAGAAACGACTTGATGACCCAAAAAACCAATACCTGAGTATAAAGCCTTCAAGTATAGCGCCATCTTTACCAATGATTAAAAAACGGGGATATCTTAACGGACCGCGATGCGAGCGAATCATGGAACGACTGGAAATTCTACAGGATAAGGGACGATTTCAAGAACACAAGTGTTTGGTCAAATGTTTGCTCAAACACCGCATGGAGCGTAAAAGCAGCAACGTTACACGCGATACACCGTGTGAACAACTGTTGAAAAAACTTGAATTTCAGCAGAATGATAGAAAACTTGAAGATACAGATGTTTTGTTTCATTTGTACTCTCGACTTTGTGGGGGAGAAGAATATGCTGATTTGGAATTATCTCTTGTGATCGAACAAGGAGTTTCCTTTATGTACCAGAAAAAATTTAAGAAAAGCAAGCTCTTTCTAACCTCAGTTAGTGCATTTGGTGAATACTGTAAACTGAAAAATTCGAACATTTTAATAGCAAGAACGTATTTTCTTCTGATAGAACTAAATATGCACATGTACAAGAAAATTAAGAAGATTCAAACCCTGTTTGAATATTTGGAACGCAGCGAGGACTACTTGAAACATCACGATTCCCCAGAGGACATGGCTGAGTTATATTACAACCGTGGATTACTCTGGATGATTTTCACGTGCACGATCCCGGTCGACGAAGGGCATGCACAGGCACGGAAACATGCCCGAGAAAATGCGATACGTGATTTCGAGCTCGCAATTGCTTATTCTCAGGAGGATACCCGTTTGAGAGTTAGAGAGAAGAAGCTGACATTCTGCCATCTAGGCATCGCAGCTGTCCGCCTTGACTGCACATCGACTAACGCCCGAAATGAGATAAACAACATTCATGTCACTACGGAAGATATTAAAGATGCACAAAATCACCTGGACTATATCTTGCACGAAGTGGGTGATTCCCTCGCCATAGGGCCACGCATGCATCTTTATAAGAATCGTTCAGATCAGTATTATCGAGAAGGTTTCTATCAATTGGCCAAAGAAACAGCCGAAAATGCCTTACAAATTGCATCCAACTATGGATTTAAAACTGAAGAGGACACGCTGAAAGAGCGAATCTATTTTCTGACGAACCTACTCGTCAACGAAAACAGTTCGTCCGGTACGGACGAGGCTCAAATCTTCAGCTCGGACAACGACGCCAGTTCGGAAGCATCTTGAGGCGATACAAAATGTCAAGGTTGTCAACTCAATGTTTAAGTTCAAGGATATGATACACTGAGTAGAAGCTACGGAGCAGATACCTATTCTACCATTCACCTATCCCCCCCCCTCCGAAAAAAAAAAATTGATGAATAATGATTGTAACAACCTTAAACCAAGAATAAGGAGAAACCTGTATAAATTGTATCACTGAATTCAGTTGAGGTCACCAAGTCTGTGTACAACCCCACTTTGAACTGTAACAATAACCACAAGCAAATCAACTTACCAAAAAATTATTTCCTTATTAAACTTACACCTGTATCGGCATTTTGGGGGAGAGGGAATCGAGCAGAGGTGAGAGCGCTGGTCTTCCACCGCTGTAACCCAGGATCGATTCTCAAACCTGGTGTCATGTGTCATGTGCGAGGGTTAGCTCGTCCCTGGGCGCTTTATGTTCGCAAATGTGTAGTTTCCTGTTGATTCACGTCCCTGTAATGAGGGGTTTTTTTTTAATCGTATTCTCCGATTCTCCTCCCTCGACAAAAAAAATAATTCTATGAACCAGCGGATGTATGCTTTGAAACTTTTGAAACATATTCAAAGTAATGAACTAGATGGCGAAAGATGTTTTTTTCGTCTTATCATGAGCGTGGGACAAAGAAAAAATTCTGAGTCCCCATGTATGTCGTTGTATATCGTGGATGTACCACTGTTATCACTAATTTTATATATTGATGTGGCTATTTATCTTTATATTCATTCATTTGTTTATCTCTTTTTTTTTATTTACGTCATCGGTACGCCATCAAGGTTGAGCTAAAACTTTCATTGAACAGACGAGATCGCAACTTTTCACATCTCGAGCGTCTATCCGGTGGATTAAATTAGGTAGATTTACTAAACAGCTCAAAATACTTACCAGCGCGTTTGACAGCCGCATGAGCCGTTAAGCTGGAAGGCCAGAATACTGGAACAACGGCGTCCATATCCACGTCAAATGCATTGCCGAGGTATGGTTTGGTAATATCCTTTATCCCAATCACGGAAGGATCACCTATATGTACCACTGTTCCAATTAGAGTCTCCAAACGTGAGGTAACTGCTACAGTCCTTTCCAAAAGTCGTTTAGGAATCGGAAACATGCAAACCACCAGTGGACTGCCGAATGCTCCAGCCTCTTTACACATGATGTTAGTTTTATAATGAGGGACGGTTTTCACATTTTCTTCGCTTGCATCAAGAATTCCAGTTGCAATGAGTTCTTCCTCAATGTGATGGCTTATCGAGGCGATGTAAAATGCCACCATGTCGTTCCAAGGAAATTGCGTCAGATTGGTAACACGTTCGACTTCATGGCCGTTTTTCAGGACATGGTAGAAAGGTAGCAATGTTCTGAAATGAAATAATTTTCAAATCGAATCAGCGCGAGGTACAACAATGAGAGGAGCAAAGAAATCACTCTAGATTCCAGATTTTCGAACAAAGTGTTCTGTATTTGGCATCTTCGATTTTCTCAGAATATTCCTAATCTGCCAACCCTACCCCCCCTTTTTCCAACCCAAGGAGCCAGCCGCGCGAGGGCATGGGGCGAAAGCATAGCATCAAACGAACGGAAAGGCCAGTAACACGTACAGTTACTGTGGTCATTCATAAATCATAATTTGGGATAATTAGTTCATCTCATCCTCACTAGGTGTATATCTGGATTCAGGGACCTGGAAATTAATTTCTGCCAATTTTCCTCTCTACATTCGCTTCTTCGGATTTCCCGGTGCACAGCTTCCAGAAGCCTGGTTGAGAATGATTACTTTCGCTTTAGAAAAGCATTTGTCCATACCTGATGTCTGAATCACGTACTAGAGGCTTCGTTGTGGTATCTCCAGGTGCACTGCGCTGAAGCAGAGGACAACAAGATTTGTTTAACTTACAAAACTTCTCGAATTGATCGGCGTTTGTCGATGGAACCACGATCACATTGACATATAATCGCCCTCGAAATGATGCGGCTACATTCAGGCCTTTTACTGCCATTATTCTACTCGCCATGTTCTTAATTTTTCATTGTACCAAAGATCTGTAAAGAAAAAACTTTGGGCTGAAATCTTGTCCCTGCGAGAAGAGCTGTGGTGTTTTTTTTTGTGTGCAGCACTCAGGATGGCGTGACTTAAACAGTGAAAGTACGTAAAGCGTCACGTGAAACCAGGGATGTCTGTCACATGCTTAGCATGTGACGCAGTTCTCGTGGTCACGCAATCTTTATTAACTTTAAACGACCGACTCTTTGTGCAAAAGAACTTTTCAAAGAACAATGCCCGCTTTGGAAGAGAGTGGGAACGTAGCTTCTTGGCCAGCATCAAAAGCTAGGCATCAATTTCGCACAAATCCAGAGTATGAGGGGAAATCAACGTCGGGATTTTGTATGCGACATGTTCAGACAAATCTGGCGATCCTTCCAGCTTCACTGGCCGATGAATTTGAACAGTTCTGCAATTTAAACAAAGCTCCATGTCCATTATTGTACAAAAGCAAACCTGGTGAACTATCTGCTGGAAATCTCGCCCAGGATTCTGATGTAAGGTATGACAAATTTAAGAAATGCTAGGGGCTCTTGATAGTTCCCTTTTTGAATGTGCACCCATGTAAGAAGACTGAGCTATCTCCGGAAAAACTACTCCTACAACTTTCGTTATCGTCAGTGTCACCTTTCATTAAGCAGCTGTTATAATTGAAGTAAATAGCATCTAAATCGTTTACCCTTTCACTCCAGGAATGACCAAGATACAATTTTTTGAGAAGATAACTCTCTCACTCCCAATAGCTCAATGAAAATTCTCCATACTGTCTGTCATACTTCTCCTATAAAGTTTGTTCCGAGAATTTGTCGTCGGATCAAATGCTATTTTCCTTATTAATATATATATTTTTTCATTCACATCACTTGGCAGCTTGATATTGTATTGATCAATACTATAACAAGAAATTAAGTTTTGGTCACTCTTGGGGGTTGAAAGGGTCAAGATGCAGGTACTGTAGGTGATGAGAATAGAGAAAAGTTTCAAGCAGGGATATTTAATGATTCATCGCCAAATTCTCCCTAACATCAGAAAAAATGTTTTGCAGCCAGTAAGGAGAGTTGCAATAAGGATCTTTAGAGTGACAAGGCCAAACAACTGAACTAGTTTATTAATAACTACTGAGAAGCAAGGCCAGTTCATTTAAGACATTGGAATGGAAGGTTTGAACTTGAAGGTTTCAAATTGACTTAACCCTATTAAGCAAGAATGAATGAAATGTGGGGGGGGGGGTGTTGGGGAGGGGGAGATCTTTAGCATATCTGCAACAAGGCTGCGGAACTAACTACCCATTAACCTACAAAAAGAGGTGAAAAACAGTTGCTTCTTTCAGAAAGGCCTTTCACAGACATTTTCTAATGAGCTACAATGAAGAAGAACATTTCAGTTCAAATGCAATTTAACCCAACGGAGGCAGCATATTTTATTTGATCCAGTTTTTAGCTTGCATTCTAACTTATAGACCTGTTGACCAGTTTTATAATCTTTGAATACATTTTAATTCTAATTGTGGTACTTTTAGGATCAAGGGCCACCAGTTCATTAGTTGAATTACTTTTGTGTGTTAGCCTCCTTAAATAAAGTTATTATTATTATTATTAACAATTGCCCTGTATTCTTGTTCAAGTGAGTCTGAAAATACAATGAACACAATGTCTGCTTTTCTGAGTCTAAGATTTAAGAATATTTAGTTCTGGCAAAGATACTGAAAGCTATAGTCAGATCAATTAATTTGTGTTTCAACTTTCAATTAAAAGCAACTGAATATGACCAACATCTAATTTCTCCTTACAATATCATCCCTCAATCATACATTAAGGTCATGATAATAATGGGAATGGTCACCAACTAAGGAAGCTCTCAATTGTTTAATAACAAATTCTTCTCGTCAGCACCTCAGGAAAGTATAGAGAACTGTACGGAGATTATGCAAACTGATGTTAGGGTGTAAAGGGTGAAGGTATGCTCCTAACCTGTCACTGATTACAGAGAAACCATGAAACCTAATTTAGGGAACATCCTTGGACAACAAAAAGTAGTCTGGAAAAAAGAAATGTCCCTAACCCTTGATAAAATGTTGTATAAGTCATAATTTCCACATATCTCCACAATAATGAGTTGTAAATTTCTTATCTAAAACTTTCAGAACTGATCTTCCAATGTATTGGGTCTCTGAGAATGGAAATGTCACTAAGAAAGTGGGGAACCTAACCAGTTATCCTCTGGAGGACTATGTGTCCTTTTACCTTGGATGCAGCTTTTCCTTTGAAGATGCATTGATGAAAGCTGGCATTGAACTGCAGCATGTTGTAAAAAAGCGCAATGTATCAATGTTTAAAACTAACATTCCATGTTTGCCTGTTGGGCCATTTGACTGCCCTATGGTTGTTTCAATGCGACCAATTCCCAGAGAATTGGTTGAAAAAACAGTTATTGTCACAGCTGCCTATGATGCAGTGCATGGAGCCCCAATACATATCGGCGATCCATCAGTGATAGGAATCGATGATATTGATAAGACAAACTTTGGAGAATCTTCTGATGTTGCTGATATGATACCTGTGTTCTGGGCTTGTGGTGTAACGTCATCAGTTGCAGTAAGATCAGCAAGTAAGTGGTGTCAGGCTAAGAGGATTTTATTACTTTACCTACTAGTAATTATCATGTCCACTTCAAGTGATATATTAGCTAGAAAAAATGATGAAATGACTTATTAAAAACTTATAGCAAAGAGATAGAAAATGGTACTGTACCTTAGAGGAAGGTATCTTGATGTAATAACAAATTCTCTCAACTTTCATGCATTTACACTGGAATATACAGCTGCCAGACAGTGGATTTATGAGTCACATTCAATTTGAGAAAATGGGTTGAGAACACACAGAATGTACAAATAATGATTTCCTTTACCAACATTTTGATGCAGTAAGTGCATGTATGGTGAACTGCTTTCATTTTTAATCCAATTTTGTGTGATTTAATTTGCAAGTAAAGATTAGCCAGTTTTTAACAGAATTTCTTGGTAAGTGAAACAAGATTAAAACTTTCCATCTTCAAAAAAAAAATATGGCTGCAAAATATTTGGTAGACATGTAACTTTAGCATATGTAACTGGTAATTGGGAAAATTAGCTCTTAGATCCTGGGATTGATTGCCATTTAATTTAACAGTGTATATATATTTAGTATATGTACAATTAACAGTGGTGGACAAAATAATCCCTTTTTTCTTTTGTTTTCAGAAACTAGGACCAGGTAATTTTGACTTTTTTTCTTGTCCTTCCATTTCTGCAGAACTACCACTATCATTCAGTCATCAGCCTGGGTCAATGTTCATATGTGACACCACTTTGGAAGAATACTTTAGAGTCAATAAACCTGAACATGGCGATGAACAACCCAAACTTATCACTCTGGCAGATCAACCATTTTTAGCTTCTGTCTGCTCTGAAACTGCATTTAAAAAAGTGGAAAAGCTCAGTAAACTGTTGAGTCATCAGAGTGGTTTTGAAGGAGATGTCTATGATTCTGATTTCCTGAAGATTTCTGCCAGATTGTCCCATGCTCCATCTGTTGTTATTGGCATTCTTGATGAGGAAATAATACCTTCCTCTGAATTGGCGACTTCGGATGGTCTCCAAGGAGTTATCACTTTGGTCAAAGCACTTCAGGCAGTGAAAAAGAAGATCACCATTATCACAGAACACAATTCACAAGTGATTCATGACTGTGTCACAGCCAATGCTTCTCAAGGAATATCAGAAAAAGATGTCCACGTTGTTACATTGGAGGACAGCAGGAACTTGAAGGACAGACTTTTTACTGGGAATGTAAATCACAAACTGGATACAGTGATAGCTTTACAAATGACAACAGAGTTTAGCAACAGCAATAGTGGATCTGAAAGGACTATTCAAGTTGGTTTGGTGGACAAATTATTTCAGGAAGGTATGTTAATGTTTAATTGAAAATTGAAACATAATGAAATCTCCCATGTATATGCTCATTCTCCACAATTGTCTATTTTAGCAATTGACCAACTGGTTTCAATTGGTAGAAATATTTCCATTTCATAAATTTCGAAGTAAATGTGTTGAACTTAAGTTTCAACAGAGTGAAGCTACATGTATTTGTTTATATTAATCTGCATTGGTGCATGGCAAAAGACAAATTTTGGGGTTTTTGTTCTTTGCATTATGAAATTGAGACCTGAAAGGAGAATTCTCACCTGAATGAATATACCCTGATGGCTTAGAAGTCTGGGTCTAGAGGTCTGGGTTTTGAGCCCTTGACCACTCAAACTGTTGGGGTCTATAGCAAAACACCTGCTAGTGAGTGGTTGGAGGGCTGGAAGGGCTCTAAAGACCACTAATCTCCCCCTTTCCTATTTCAAATGGGATATTGAGTTTCAATTCATTGATCGCATCTTCAGACCAACATCTACATATAAGATCTGACACCTGCTTTTTAATTGTGCCTAATAGACTATTCTTTTGTCCTGCCCCTGATATATACCCTCCCTGTTTGTATAACTTGAATGTAAAGTTTTAATCTTTTAGTTTATAGCTTTCAAAATGGAATTGTGTCAGTGAAAATCACCACCAACAGACAGGAGACATCACCAAATGGCAATTGCAGTTCAGTTTATAGTCATGTTATGGTTGCCAACTCCGTGCAGACAGCTGCATTGGGTCTTTCTGCTGCCTTATATGTCCTGAATAGCTGTCCAATTCACTCACGGTATCTACGGCATGGTATTGGCAAAAGAGAAGTCTTCCAAGTTGGGCAATTCCTTGTGAACAACACTGAACAAGTAAGAACTTTCACTGTATTGGATCTGTGCTTGCAAAATACAACATTTGTGCGTGATGAAAGCAGTGCTTTCCCATTGGCTATTTTTCATCATCAGTTTTTTTCTCAGATGATTTCTTTTTTCACAGTATTTGTTATTTTAATTTAATCAAAATGTCAACATCAAACAACTCATTTGCATGAAAATTCCTACTTTGATGTAATTATTTTGGGGAGGGGGACTTCTCTCATGGCAAAGAAGTCTGAAAAGTAAGAAAAAATAGCTTCACCATACTCATGAACTGACCAATGATTCTTTATCATTTTAGGAAAAAACATGCCACCAGATTCTTGACTGGATTAAAGACATCTGAAGATTCATTTTCAAGAACTAAATTTGCTTTAATGTTTTATGAATTCCATGCAGACAATTATCGCTGCATGTTTTTCTTCTTTGAAACAAAACTGACTTTGTTTCGTTTTGTTTTTTGGAAGGGAGGGGAGGCCTCATCATTTGGTGATTTCAGGCAACAAATAAGAATAAAAGAATCATAGGCAAGCATTTTTTAATCAAAGTTTTAAGATTTGAAAATTTTGCTGTGCACTTCGAACTGAGTGGCAAATATTTGTCAATGAGGAAATGGAAATAAGACACATATTTCTCCCTTCTCATTGAACAACCCACTTTTCAATATTCACAGGTTTGACCCATCAGTGGGTCATCAAAGCTGCCAACATGAAACATTTTAAACCTTTAACTCCCATCAGTGATTCACATGTAACTTCTCCCTAAAATATCCATTCCTTATCCAGCAGAGATAATGAGAATTCTCAAACTTATGAGGTACAAGTTGTTGTCTTGATCTAACACCAAATTCTCATAACTGATTTATGTGGAAATGTGTAGCAGCTAGAGGGGAGAATTAACAATCAGATCTTAGCAGTTAAAAGGACAATTAATTAAAGTTCTCAACCACATATTTCTCTAATTTTGGTAGTGAATGTTATTGAAAAAGGTGGGAAACTCATGACTTTTTGGCTTAGCTGCTGGTAAAGATCTTTCTTTGATATCTTTCAGAGGTAGAAGGGGACGTATTGTACACAAAATGACTTCAGGAGGTTGGGGTTCTTACTTGGTTTAGAAGAAAAAGTTGACATAAAACAACAAAGAACCAATTGGTTCCCATTTGGTTAATGTTAACCCCATCGTGTTTGTCTTTCTTTGCAAACTAATATTTTAAAGTTTCACTCCAGTGGTCATCAACAAAAACATCTCAGAATGGTTAAGAAGATTCTTTAATTTATTTTAAATTTCATCTTTGGTAATGTCTGTGTGGCAAAATAAAATGAAGTAATTACGTGGCTACAGCAAGGGTTTCAATGACTTTTTCCATATGCTATTGCCGGTGGTTTATTTAACGGCTGTGCTGTAAGACGAGGTGATGGACAAAACACTGACCCCAGTACACGGATAGGTTCTAAGAGAGCACTGCAATCTATATACACCTTTATTGCACATGCCCTCGTAATTTACAGAGTATTTCTTGCTCAAAACTCGAACATTAACGTCGAGTCAGCACGGGGAGTGGAAACAAATCATTTCCGCGGGTCTACTTAATTTCAGTACTTTATTTTCCTTAATACTTGTGTCCACTTCAATGATATAGCTTATTGCTTCTACTTCGAGGTTCAATTCATTAACGCTTGTAAACACAATAACCCTTCTCTAGAGTAATAGCAACGTGCCTGGTTAAACAACATGCCGCGCGTTGAAACACATTCGATCGTCTTGCAGCTGTAAAACTACATGTACTATTGAATATAGAGATGGCTGACTATGAACGATCTCTCATGAGCGTGGCAAATATCTGCGTCAATCTATGTACCTAAACACGAAACAGTGAATATTATCGATTTCTCGTCTTACTTCATGACCAATACTGAGTGAAAAACATGATTGAGCTATTTTCGTAGGAAGGACATAAAATGTTTAAAATAATCACCTAATTTTCGTTGTAGGTGTTGCGGCTAGCAAGATAGGCCCATTTAGGTAGTCCATGGACTGGGGGTCAGTGTTTTGTCTACCACCGGTAAGACGAAATCCAATTAAGAGAGCCAACTCATGGGCTTAACAGACGGCTGTGAAGGGTCTTATTGGCGACGGTAGACTGCCGGTAACCGACTTTTATTGAAACCTCTGAGCTATAACATCCACCTTGACGGTCCAAGTATATGAATAAAGGGGTTAAGTTTGTAAAGAAACTGTGGTGCTGCATCGGTGGGAGTAAAAACATGGTAATTTAGTATTATTAACTGAGTTGATAACGTAAATTTGCCACCGTAAAGAGTTTGAAAAGTGACGTTTCGAACGTTAGCCCTTCGTTAGAGCGATTTGGTCTAAGAAAATGTCTGTTGTTTGGTACAATGAGAGAGTGAAACAAAAATGATGTGATTCCAAACCTTTATTAGTAGAATAACAAACGTGATCAGTTATTAAAAGGTTAGAAATTCATCATCTGAAGAAACGTTCATTTAATAAATTATTTAGTGGACAGCGATGCTATTAAATACCTATATAAATAAAACAGTATGAACATTTTCAAACTAATTAATCCAAATCTACTTTTTCTTTCTTGTAACTCGATGGTGTGGAAAGCGTACTAATGATTTCCATTCTCACTTACGTTCATCATCAAAAATAGACTACGGTACTTGACATTTGGCAATCATAAAAGATTATTCACGTACACTGAAAAAATTAGTCATAAATACATTTTAATAGAAGGGAAGACAACTTTACTATCTCTTCCAAAACTGTACAAAGGGCAAAAGCAAACTAGTACCCATATCTTCTCACTCTGTGAAAGTAAGAAAAGACTTGGGGAGTAGATTACGGTTGATATTCACATTATATACACGATTTCTTCGAGAGTCTGCGAGAACTCACGTAGATACAGTGTGCTAGACTCTGAATGGCTAGCCCCCTTTGTATCCCTATTGTATAAAGTTTTAAAAACGTAATATTTTCCTTTTTCATACTCAACAAAACTAAGACAAGAGCCAGCTCAAACTTGATCGAGTTATCAATTCTCCTGCACGACGTGTTGCAAGCGACTGTTTCCCATAAGCGACTAGACTTCCTGTAAATCTACAGCTGATAGGTTTCATTGTTTGCAATTAGCTATCACTCTTAACATCAATAAATAACAACTTCATTACATCTTGAACTAATCAGCCATCACACACACCCATACTCGTACCAAACCGAGGATTTCTTACCATCTCCTGGGTTTGACCCGACAGATCTCGTCCGCGCCCTCTCCTCCGCGCCTGATCTTCGACCTGGCGCCATCGACGAATCATCTGGCAGAGCAGGAGGAGAATCCATGAATATTTCTTTTTCCTTTGCTGCTTTCCTTGCCTTGCGCACCTTTTTCAGTGCCGGTGAGCAATCGCGGCTGCGATGCGACGAAACAGACCTAGCATCGTCGTCATTGTCTTCAGCTAGGGTCTGGGAAGAGGGCTGCACGTACGTTGATGCTATACTTCCGTTGTCGGCTGGAGATGTATGTTCAATTTTAAGAAGCCGCGCTCGCTCGCTGGAAACGTTTTGTTTAGTGGTTTCTTGAATTGTTCCCGAAGAAACGATTACCTTAGTGTCGTTCCTGTTCTCGTCTCTTTGTTCGTTCGCAGATGGCTTCAATTCCACAGGATTAGAGGGGACGACATTAGGCGGCGAGGGCGCTGTACCATACCGTGACGGCATATTGGTATCAGCACTAACCGTATTTCTCAATACAGCAGTATTGCTATTCAACAGCAACTGAGAGTCATGCGTGGCGCTGGCTCGTGACGGAGTGGTGTGATCGCGAGATGGTGTAATCGAGTCGCGTGAAGGCAATTTGTTGTTTGACAAGGGTAGTACACGTTCATCCCCGCGTTTATTCCGCACAATGGCGAATACCGATGACGAAGTGACTTCCGCACGGTTCCCACGAGAAACCACCGGAGTTGAACTCAAATCAACCCCGGATGCGTCTACGTAAACTGAAGTTCCAGCCCCAGCAGTACTCACTGCCGCGCTGGGTGATGCCTCGCTCTTAGGTATAGTTCCACTTGTAACATAATGCGCTGTGACTGGGACACTTTGCAGGGGTGGAGCGGTTGAAGCTGCAAATATAGTGCCTTGCCGCTTTGATGCCCTGAGTCCTTCATTTCTGTCACCACTAAGGCTCCTTTCTCTTGAATGAGCTGAACTTGTTTGACTTGTGTCACGATTAGGTGAGTCATTCACATAAATTACCTTTGGGCCATCACTCGTGTCTCCATCTGAGCTCTTTTCTCTAACGTGCTGAACATGGGAGGGAACAGCATTGTAGTTCCTTGGGGATTCAATTAGTTTACCACCATTCTGTTCTCCACTGGCACTCCTTTCTCGCGTTTGTTTAGAACGAGATGGCAATGTGCTATAGTTCCTGGAGGGTTCCATACCCTTCTTAATGTTCTTATCGCCTCTTAAGCTCTCTTGCCGCTGAAATCCACGAGGCGTGGAAGTAGTGGGTTCCTCGCGTTTGTCACCGCCAAAATTGCGCTCCCTCTCTTGATAAGGACTTGTTATACCACCATTAAAAACCAGTGCCCCTTCTCGTGCCTGAGGACTGTTTTCTTTCCTTTCTACTGTAACTCTCCTCGCCTGATCCTCTTGGAAAGGTGATGAGACGGATTTATTAGTAAGTGACGGAGACGAACCATTAGGCGTGTTCGCGGCAGCTATCACTTGCACAGATATTTTACTTTTGGTCGGTTCTACAGCTCGTTCTCGAACTGGTATAGTGTCAAGATTTTGAGTGTACTGCGCAATGGGCATGCTCGCCCGTCGCGCATCTCTTTGCGAAGGAGACAAAGCGCCATTTTCTTTCCTCCCCATGATTGGGCTACGCTGAGGAGTCCGAGGAGACGGCTTCTCTTCCAACTTTCGGGCCAGAATAGGAGAGGAGTGAGGACTTGACGTTCTCTGCACGGAAGTAGAAG